CGAGAGGTTTATCTTTCGATGACTTTCAAGATTTTTCATCAACATGCTGAAGTTGTTTGGCACTCCTGTGCTGAACCGTATAGTCATAAGCACTCAAAGCAATACTCCATCATTGAACCATAGCAGCTGAGGGACTTGCCAAGGAGTTTTCAGAATGAAAGATCAACTGGTGAATTTACTTCCAAATAAATATTTATGGAGTCTTTTAACAACTCAGAAACACAACTAATGCGTCTCACTGCGTTTGCGAATAATCACGTTCAGTAACAGTAAGCTTGCGTTAAGCACAGGTCAGTGTTCTACCTTCTCACTCCAAAACTGCATCATTAATTATTACAGAATGCACACAAGAAGAGTAATTTTGAAGAAGAGAACCACTTTGAAGGAACTTTAGTAGATTTCGTGGGAGTGACTCACGTTCTCATACCGTTTGAATGAATTGGATGTCAAGATCTGAAATAAACAACAAGAAAAAATTAGATATGAAACGGGAATATTATCGAAGAGCATCCACTAATGAACGTAGTTTTGTAATTTTTTTCGGAGATGGTGCGTTTCTCAGAATAGTTAGTCGTTTCGTATCTGGTTTGAAACCATTACAACCAACTAGGTATCCGAGTCGTTCTTAACTAGATACATGGAACGAACACTTATTTGGATTCATGGTAATATTCTTCTCTACTAGACGATGTAATAAAGCAATAAGTTTCTGATTATGAACCACCTTATCAGGGTTATGAATAATGAGGTCATCTTGATAATAATCAATATCTTTAAGATCACTGACTGCATTATTCATCACTTTGTAGCGCTAAATAAATACCCAAAATCAATGGCTTTGTAAGTGTTCAACATTGGATGCTGACCACATTAGTTTTAATGGACTCACCTAGGTGAAGGCGCTCCGTCGTGCATCCGCGCCAGGTCACGAGTGGGAACGCCGTGCTCAACTTCTCCTGCAACCGCTAGCCAGTTAGATCAGTCGTTTCTCAATATATTGATAGCCTATCAAATATATGTTCGAATTTCCTCGCTTCTGACTTTTGATTTCACTGAGTGGATACGATTCATTTATTGAGGGTGTTACTAAATGAAGTGATGTCATATTAGGAATACCCGTGGCATTTTCAATTTTCTTAAATATGACCGAAGAGGAACTCAAATAGAATGAAAGGTGGTTGTATTTCAATAGATCAATAAGAGTGATGATTGTTGTCAAAATAGATGAAAAGTGATCTGAGGCAAGTTGAAGATAAGCATCTTTTGAGTCAACTTCCGAAAATACATAAGAATCATGAAATTGTCCAAACATTTATTCAGCTCACACTGTCTGGTATATCTGCTTCAACAAACGTGAGTTCAGTGTTAATCCATAGTCACCGCATATTCTATGGGTCTTGCCTTCAGTGGGTCAGCCTTCAATGGCCTAACAATAGGAGTGCCTCATGAAGAGTCGTTTCAATTGTACCTTTCACACACAAATCGTTCAATGTCTTATGTGCTGCTTCTCAAAGACAATAAGGAATTATTCGTCTCTTGTGAAAGACTGGTTTATCATGTACTTGTAGTTTTGTAGGCTGAATTCCCATCCCTCCACTGTACTTAGTACATGAAGCTGTCAATATTTTATATGAAGCATCAGAATGTTGTTTGGAAACCAATAAAAACAGCTCCGCACTCAGCCATATCAAATTTTACAAACCTAGTATTGACGGTCTTGCATAATTAACTAATAAATCACTGGGCATTTATGAAGAATTGTCATTTCAAATTAACAATTCACATGATCCTCGTATAGGCATTTTGTGTCCAATTATCTCCAATGTTAACTCCGCCTGTAGCTCTTCTGGGGGTTACTGCCGGTCCCAAGCCCGGGTAAAGGAGGAGGGTTGGGCATGGGGTTAGCGACCCCATCCCGTGGAAAATCAACTCGCTAGAAAAACGCTAACCAGAAAAAGTCATTCAAACCTTTCAAACTCTGCCCTGGGAGTAGAAGGAATAATTATGACGTCTCATGATGAAAGCCGAGTTCCTTCGGAAGTCATGAGGCCGATGCACCTTCTTACAACCAGAGCGACAATTTTTATAGGTACATGGAATGTGCGAACAATGTGGGAGACCGGAAGAGTTTTCCAAATTGCTGCAGAAATGAGAAAATACAACCTGGAGGTTCTTGGAATCAGCGAAACACATTGGACGCAGGTTGGACAACAACGACTGTCTTCAGGAGAACTTCTGTTATACTCCGGTCATGAAGAAGAAAATGCCCCACATACACAAGGAGTTGCATTGATGCTGTCCAGAAAAGCACAAAATGCACTTATAGGATGGGAATCTCATGGACCAAGGATCATCAAAGCCTCCTTCAGAACAAAGAGAGAGGGCGTTACAATGAACGTTATCCAATGCTATGCGCCTACCAATGACTACGATGAAGACGCTAAAGACCAATTCTACGATAGGCTGCAGTCGATCGTCGAGAAGTGCCCAACCAAGGACCTGACAATTCTGATTGGAGATCTCAATGCTAAGGTTGGAATGGACAACACTGGATACGAAGACGTCATGGGACAACATGGACTGGGAGGAAGGAACGAAAATGGTGAGAAATTTGGAAACCTATGTGCCTTCAATAAACTGGTCATAGGTGGCACCATATTCCCACACAAAAACATACACAAAGCCACTTGGATTTCACCGGATCATACTACACAGAATCAAATCGACCATATCTGCATCAACAAAAAGTTCAGGAGGACGATGGAGGATGTGAGAACCAGAAGAGGAGCTGATATAGCATCCGATCATAATTTGCTGGTCGCCAAGATGAGACTAAAACTCAAGAAGCAGTGGAAAACGGCGCGGACAACATCACAAAAGTTTAATACGGCCTTTCTTCTAGATGCTGACAAACTCAACAAATTCAACATAGCCCTCAGCAACAGGTTCCAGGCCTTTCATGACCTACTCAATGGAGAGGGGACTACCATGGAGAGCAACTGGAAAGGTATCAAGGAGGCAATGGTTTCAACGTGTCAAGAGGTTCTAGACCAAAAGAAGCACCATCACAAGGAATGGATCACTGTTGGTACACTGGATAAGATTGAAGCAAGGAGGAACAAGAAGGCAGCAATCAATATCAGCCGAACAAGAGCGGAAAAAGCCAAGGCACAAGCCGAATACACAAAGGCAAACAAGCAAGTGAAGAGGAGCATCAGAACCGACAAACGTAAATATGTGGAAGATTTAGCAATGACAGCGGAAAAGGCTTCAAGAGAAGGAAACATGAGACAATTATATGATACAACAAAGAAACTTGCTGGAAATTACCGTAAGCCAGAAAGACCACTGAAAAGCAAGGAAGGCAAAGTAATCACCGACATTGAAGAACAACGAAACAGGTGGGTAGAACACTTCAAAGAACTCTTGAATCGACCAGCTCCACTGGACCCACCCAACATCGAAGCGGCACCCACGGACCTCCCAATCGATATTGGCCCACCAACAATTGAAGAGATCAGCATGGCCAATAGACAAATCAAGAGTGGCAAAGCAGCGGGACCAGACAACATCCCGGCAGAGGCACTGAAAGCAAATGTAACAGCAACTGCCAAGATACTCCACATCCTCTTCAGTAAGATTTGGGACGAAGAACAAGTACCAACAGACTGGAAAAAAGGACTTCTGATCAAGATACCAAATAAAGGCGATCTGAGCAAGTGCGACAACTACAGGGGCATCACTCTTCTCTCAATACCAGGAAAAGTCTTCAACCGAGTATTGTTAAACAGGATGAAGGATTCCGTGGACGCCCAACTTCGAGATCAACAAGCTGGATTGCGTAAGGATAGATCGTGCACAGATCAAATCGCAACTCTGCGGATCATTGTGGAACAATCGATCGAATGGAATTCATCACTCTACATCAACTTCATCGACTACGAGAAGGCATTTGATAGCGTGGACAGGACGGCACTATGGAAGCTTCTTCGACACTACGGCGTGCCTGAGAAGATAGTAAATATCATACGGAACTCCTATGATGGACTAAACTGCCAAATCGTCCACGGAGGACAACTCACCGACTCGTTTGAAGTAAAGACCGGTGTTAGGCAAGGTTGCTTACTCTCACCGTTTCTCTTTCTCCTGGTGATCGACTGGATCATGAAGACGTCAACGACTGGAGGAAAGCACGGGATACAGTGGACAGGCAGTATGCAGCTTGACGATTTAGACTTCGCGGATGATCTGGCTCTTCTATCACAAACGCAACAACAAATGCAGGAGAAAACGACCAGTGTAGCAGCAGCCTCAGCATCAGTAGGTCTCAATATAAACAAAGAGAAAAGCAAGACTCTCCGATACAATACAATATGCACCAATCAAATTACACTTGACGGAGAATCTTAGGAGGATGTGGAAACCTTTACATATCTGGGAAGCATCATTGATGAACACGGTGGATCAGATGCAGATGCGAGGGCGCGGATCGGCAAAGCAAGAGCAGCATACCTACAACAGAAAAACATCTGGAACTCAAAACAATTGTCAACCAACACCAAGGTTAGAATTTTCAATACAAATGTGAAGACAGTTCTACTGTATGGGGCGGAGACGTGGAGAAATACGAAAGCCATTATCCAGAAGATACAAGTGTTCATCAACAGCTGTCTACGCAAAATACTTCGGATCCGATGGCCAGACACTATCAGCAATAAGTTACTGTGGGAGACAACAAACCAGATTCCAGCAGAGGAAGAAATCAGGAAGAAGCGCTGGAAGTGGATTGGGCACACCTTGAGGAAATCAGCTAATTGCGTCACAAGACAAGCCCTCACATGGAATCCTGAAGGTCAACGGAGAAGAGGAAGACCAAAGAACACATTACGCCGAGAAATAGAGACAGACATGAGAAGAATGAACAAGAACTGGATAGAACTAGAAAAGGAAGCCCAGGACAGAGTGGGTTGGAGAGAGCTGGTCGGCGGCCTATGCTCCATTGGGAGTAACAGGCGTAAGTAAATAAGTAAGTAATCTCCAATGTTGAAACTTCGGTGTTTCGTAGCACAGCTTCGAAATCTAAAGGTATCTAGTTCTTGAATGAAATAATGGGCTGTATACTTCTTGTATTAAGAAAATAGTCATGGAATGAACCAAGGGAGACATATAATCGTTTACAAATGGCAGATAAGTGTATGTAATCATTAGTAACACCCGAGTCAATGATGTTTAAATTACAAGACTTAGCATTGCTTGTAGCGAAATGAACTTCAATTTTAAATACTGACTTAATGTGTTTAATTTTACCACATTTGAAACATTTAGCGTTACGACATGCGTCTGAAGTACGCGAATGAAATTCGCCACAGGATATACATTTACCAAGCTTGTTCTCACCTTTGTGATTTGCATTACAATTCCTTGTTGAGTCACCTTTCATATTTACACGATAACAGGTATTAAATAAATGCGAGATCGAACGATACTGAGAGTGTATTACATTATAGCGATTGAGCAAAGTGTTAGAAATTTTTCCCGACTGAATATTAGGCACACTCACTGCTCCACAGCTGATACATGGAAATCTAGCATCTTGAAAAGAACAGTGTGGCATTTTTAGCAGCTCTCTTTTAAGATCTGTAATATTAATTCCTGCAGTCAACCGACCTATCAGCTGCACATTAAGTCAATCACCGAAATTGCATTCTGCATCTTGTTTTTGAAATTTAAGAAGAAATTCTTAGCCTTTGGATTATTCTGCCGAATTATATCATAAATTTTGCCCTCCCGCGGAATCAAAAGCTGGTGCACTTGTAGATTGCGTCGAGTCGCTATTGACTATGATCACCACTACAAGAAGATATCGATTTGAAGAAGATATCGATTCCGTAAGCCGAAAACCATAAGTCTGTTGACAGATGAAACAAGATATATTTGTTGGCGATCTCGTGGTATCGAGAGAATACTGAGACGTGCCAAAGTTTACAAGCGGAACTTCCGAGCGTACTCGAGTTCGTGCAAGGTCACAGGCAGCCGAAGAAAGTGTGTCATTGGTACGTTAAAGCAAACAAGTACAGTAGAACAATCACTGGTAAAATTGGTTATAATAATAATTGCCACCATTATATCAGTCGCGTTCTCGTCACAAAAATAGGTCACTACACATTTTAAAGGATTTAAAATTATTTCCTTAAGAATTGTATAAGGGAGTGGAATAGGATTTTCCGAAAATGCTTAGGTTTTCAATAATCTGTATGCTTTCCTTCCGATGAATGTTAAGAAATGAGCCACAATATTAACATCCTCAACATCCTCCTTGATCACAGTCTGGACTCCGAACCTTTCCAATATAATTTTTGAAAGCATCAAAATCTGAACGCATGTCCAACTGTTTAATCACAGACGCTATCGGGACGCCAATGAGATCATTAGAAGTATTTTGTAAGATCCAAACTAAGGTTAGGCTGAAGAACAACTGTCTGGGTAGTTTAAACACGCGTTATCGCCCAGTTGCAATGAAAATAAGGGTTCTACATTTCATCATAAATACAAATGTAAATTATTACCTAAACAAATATCACCGCTCAGTTATTCAACCAATAATTGTTCCCTCAATAATCAATCTAAATTACAATAAATAGACAACTTGATAAGGAATGTAAAAAAATTACCGAACGCACCGAAAAAATAAGTGTTATTCTTATTTTTCTGGATAGATCAAATAAAAATCCGTTCAAAAGATACTAGTTTGTTGCCCTAAAGCACAAAGTGTTTCCAATTCTGGAAAAATGATTCAACTCACAATCAAAATGCACAATCTCAATCAATTCAAGCAACACAATTAAAGAGGGGACAATCAATATAAATAGCGCCAATATTAAGTATCAACTAAAGCAACATAAATTCAGGTCCAGAAGAAACTGTAGAGCATCAACGTTGATGATCTATGTCGAATGTTTGGAGGCCTACTCGAGTTAGACAGGAACGGTGTAACGAACAAGCTAACTTCAAAGTTGCACCTCGAGGCCAGCACCTTACGTGGATTGCCCCATCGACATATCAAGAGACCATGGATGCTCTGAAGACTGTACAACACAAAGGACGTTATCACAAGAATATATTAGTTAAAGTAGATACAAGCGAAAGTAGAACCACTGCCGCATGGGACAGTCCAAGGCGTATGATTAACTGATGCGCGCTGATTGTCCTTGACCTTGGCGGAGATCGATGATCTGTTCGATATTTAGTGACCCAACTGCCGGATGATTTGGCTAGGGTTCAGTGACATTTCAATGGCACCACAATACTCTTCCACCAGATTCGACGACCGTTTGATTCGGTAACAAACATGTTGGTGGTAGTCACACACCGGAGGTTGCCAGACGACTAATATGAATCCTCCGGGTATTGCCGAGCTGTAAGACAAATGGAAAGGAGGCGACAGAAACTGATCGGAAAACGACAAGTAATAACACTAACTAGGACGTTGGTTGGATGTCAAGTGATTAACCATAGAATTAATAGAAAAAACATAACATTCAACCTGTGGTATTTGTATGAACTAATGATTTCTTTGTACTTAGTGACTGCTTGATTTCGAATTCTAAATACAATACGTTTGTTCGTGGTATTATAGTTCGGCGAGACTAAACTATACTGCCGACCTTTGAACGAATCTTAAATGACCTTGAAAAATATTAGCCAATCAGAAGACAGTTAGTGTACAGTAAAAATTTATCATACAAAACCAAAGAATTAAAGTGGAAACACTTCTTTTACATGAGTCAAAAACTTCTCAAGGTCAGATATAGGTTCAGAAGTTTTAAAATCATAGTGCATACGGTACAGGAACATATCCATATGGCTCCATAGTAATCGACCTCTGAAACCGTGATAAAGCCTCAAAAATTCTTTTAGCCTCGACCACATAGCATCACATAGCATCATCCCTGCCTTCATTTAAAAGGATACACAAACCAACAAATAACTTTCGAATTAATTATAACTAGTGCAGTCAAGTGGTTAGACTTCTCCATCGGATTTCACTGAAGACCTGGAACCGAGACAAGGAGTTAGTATAAAGAAATAATTAGACTAACACTCGCTCATTATAAGGATATTCGATATTGATGAATGTAATTTTAGAGCATAAGTCCTTGACGAAAGCAAGAAATATGTACCTACCGCCCAATAACATTCCACTTTGTGACTTTCCTGGGTATTAATTAGTTAGTAAACATACAAACCAAGCTAAGCATGTTGAAATCATACCCAAAAGGCATTGGAAAGCTTTATACCGTGGAATAACACTTCATTTCGACAAGTTTAAACTTGGAATACTAGTAGATCTTGTTAACCTAAAAGCACTTCAATCACTTTAAAGTAGCGGGATATGATAAATCATACTGAAGGGCACTCAACATTACTAATTAGCAAGTTGGTGTTAATTTTGACAGAAGCGCTTCTGAAGCCCAACCTGGCAGTGCATGTAATTTCTGCTACACTCTCACCTTCAGGCTGTAGAAATTAAGCGGATCATGAGGAGCTCTCAGTTTTCCTGAAGTGTTCTAGTCGACCCTGTCTTATCTGGGATCATCGCCATTATTAAACTGTGGGGATCCTATTATAACGTCGAGGAGCCTTCTCTTATGTGTCATGTGCCGTCACTGTACGTATCAGCTCTGTCGGATTGGCAGTCTTACTGCTTATACTTTGAGACGGGAATCGCTGCAATTCCCACGATGCAAAGTAAGAACATGAAAGATTAATGGATTTAAGATTCATTGTCTCACCGAAAAACACTCCCAAAGTCACATTGTCATCAGACCAAAATACAATCATTCACATACTGATTTTTACACATACTTTATAATAACACATTTATAGTGTTGATATAAGAACACACACTGAATACAGTTCATTTAAGTTGATAACGGGAATATAATTGTCAATAAATGAAAGTTATGTCCGAGTCGCTTATTACTTATTCTTGAAAGAAAGAACAATTACAATTCTCACGATCAGAAGTAAGAACACAGAAGACTAGTATTAGTGAAGACCTATCCATCCCAGAAACACGACTATGACTTCAGTAGAACATACAATCATCTATATATTGATTTGTACACTCACTTGGTTATTAATCAGGGAAAAGTCACATACTATAAAAGAAGTCCAGAATTATAATAAACCGCATGCTGCATATTATGCTGAACATAATTCACGTTAATTTAATACAAAGAATAACATATCTTAAACAAACATAACACTGAAATAAAACAAAGTTATACTAAATAAAATATCATAGTGAAAATAAAACAAGTGTTACACAGAATAATCACCAGAACAAATTAAATGTGGAAGTAATGTTGAGCAAGAATAATAATGAGTTATAAATGTGATTTACTTTTTCATCTCGTCATATCAAAGGTTCACACTTTTAATTCTAAAAGAACTTGATGTTGAAAAACGTTTTGACTTCCATATCGTCAACTTATTCCGTCATATCACTTCATCGTCTAGGATTAAAATATCTCAAAAAGTTGTGATACGGTAAGTTTGATATGCGTGCTTAACAGAACTTTGAGTCCCTTTGAGAATACCTAAAAAGACAACAAGGATTATCTTCGAAGATGCCAGATGAAGCTGTTTAACGTTTTTAATACTTGAAAGTATGTGAGCTATTAAAATGAGATTTATATTACCTTAGTGTCTGTGATACAACTTCAAAAAGTAGTTGATTACTACAGCATTTTGAGTCAACTTTATTCTACATTCTATACATAAATTGATAAAATAATTTTTAACGCTCCTTTTATTCAAAGAGATAGTTTAATGCTTACCACTTTTCCAGATTTCCATAGCATGATTTTCAAGCTATTTCAATATGATTTTCTATGTAGACCACTGAATGAAACTACAATTAAACTTGTAGAGAGTTTTACTGATATAATCATGTTCCAGTTGTAAATTTCAAACAGTGTAGTGGATGTTTGTAAGTAGTATATAGCGGGAGGTGGATATGAAGTTACAACAGTTGTCCGACAGAGTGAAAAGTTTCAGTTCATCGAAAGAACGGCGTTGGTCGAACACTTGGAGGCCAGTCGAGAAAACTGTTCAGATCGCAAAACATATCGGACGATGGACGATTGAAGGCCATGAATATGTATCGTGTAGTTACTTTGTAACTGTTCGCAACCAGTGCTCATACCTACCGCCTATCGTCGCGTTTTCCAACAGCTGTCATCAAATATGTAAAGTTTCACTTCATTTTAATGATGATTGTAGATTTCATAATCACGAGATGAAGTTTGGAGAAAGTAATTGAATCTAGGATCAAGTATGGCGTAGTACTATTAGGTGAAATATATTTCAAAGTATGCGCAAATAGCCATATCTAAACCAATCACAGAAACTGAAACTGTCACCAATTAAGACGATTGGTAGTCAAAAATTTGGTCCATATACAAATGACCTTGTCGAGCAGGATAATAGAAACATAGACACACCCACACATCATAACCTGAGTTAGGAAATATAAAAGGAAGAAAAGCCGCGAATTTTGTGACAATATTGATTATTGTCAAATTTAATTATTTGCAGATTTTGTTAATATAATGTCATTTTTTATACGTCTTTCAAGACCTGATTCTGCTTCACCTTGGGGATTCTGTATTCGAGGGGGAAGAGATTTTGACCAACCACTTATTATATCTTCTGTAAGTCTTGGAAGTCTGGCAGATATCAGTGGCTTACGTACCGGAATGCGTGTTTTATCCATTGGTCGTGATCCTACTACCAAAATGACTCACCAACAAGCTATTCAAGCAATTATACGTTGCTGCAACGATCTGGAAATGGAAGTCTATGATAATGGTTTGAATAATTCTGGTTGTTCTACACCGCTTCATCAAATGAACATGTCTATAACACAAACATCACTAAGTATTGAACTTCATAAACCAATAGAACCAACAAAACCGCAAACAGTTATATCTAAATTTGTTCATATTGGTACTAGTCCAACAATATCTCGCTCTCATTCACCTAATGGAATAATAATAAGATCATACAGTCCAAACTCAACTACAGTACATAATCGTATATTGGCTGAAAAACTAGATATAAATCATACATCACCAATTTATACACCACAAAATAATATAAGTTTAAAGCCATCTTATACATCATTATATAATCTGCCTAAATATAGTACAATGAATCAACCACAGCCTAATATCAAAACTAATACAAAACCAGATAATTCTTTACTGAGAGGAGTGCTACGTTCAAAAGATTTTAAAATTAATCCTATATGTCATGTATGTCAACAACAAATACACGGACCATTTATCGATACGAATGATAGATGCTTTTGTCCAAATCATTTCATATGTGATTATTGTCATCAACCACTAAACGAAGATGGTTTTGCTGAACAGAATGGAAAATTATACTGTGAAAAAGATTTTGAACAATATATTGCTTATAAATGCTCCAAGTGTAATTTACCAATTATTGGTAAAATTATCAAAGCAATAAATCGAACATGGCATCCATATTGTTTCGTTTGTTATCACTGTCAAAAACCATTAGATGATATATTTCATGTAGAAGATGATAATCGTGTATTATGCGAAGAACATTGGAAACAATTTCATGAGATTGAATGTGCGAAATGTAAACAGTCCATTTCAGAGATCGACCGTTTTATTCAAGCTTGTGGAAAACAATATCATGCAAGATGTTTTAGTTGTGCTGCATGTCAAAAACCACTTGAAGGTAAACCATTTCATACTAGAGATCAAAAACCTTTTTGTCTCATACATGCTAATGCAGTCGCACTATTTGGTTGAATAAATAATCTCAATAATTTTAAGGAAGTGAATGACGATCACTTGCTCTATCTACTGTTCAGTGTTGGTTTTCTCAGAAGTATTTTAATTGTATTGAAAATTGAACAAAATGGTTGTTTCATCACGTTATTCAGGCAAATCAACCTATATTTGTCTATTGTCCTTCGAAATGGTTGAATCTTTTAGTTCTTCTTGAGAAAATTTAGAAAATTAACCCTTATATTTTTGCACAAACATTGATATTTTGATGATTGTCCATTATTTCAACCCAATTACTCAATTTTTATGTGAAATTTATAAATTAAGCTTCAGATTAGCTTACCTCTCATATAGAACCAACCTAATTAGTATTTTTAGTGTGTATTTTGAATATATTTAGTAAAAGTAAAACAATTCGCCTTAATTTCGCTTCATTTTTATAGCATCAGTAAATAAGTAGTATTCAGTTATCGAGGATGTCATTTATTTGAATAAAATTAAACATCTTTTTTTGCTGTTGATTACGAAATTCCAATAAATGTCTGAAATGCAGTCAGATTCAAATGATCTACTTAAACGTTATCTGTGTGATGTACTAGTTTCAAAATAAACAATCAAGTCACTAATCTCTACTAAATTTCAACTCAATCACTAAAACCTATATTGTCATTATATCACGAATACGATTTCATTAACTCGTAACATCCACTGGTTAAGCACATTCTTTTATTTCAAAGTAACTTTCATCCGTTAGAAAACCAGTGAATATCTAAGAATTCTGGGATTCTCAGTAATATAAGTCTACGAGCTCACATTAGAAAACATAGACTTCGGTTTGAAATCATTATTTTAATCACATGGTGCTGACATAAAGATCATGTGTTTGATCCCGTATGGCGTCTTGAATGTTCATTTCTGAAATGTAGACGTGAGACAGTTGTCCAGTGTTCCTAGCCTTTTAAAAACTCTCCGAATGATGTATGTTCGGGATGAGAACTGAATTCATTGTATATAAAATCTCTACAAGCATAGGATATTTTTGTTAGGAGATAAACAGATGTCAGTCATACACGGTTATTATCTCTATAAGCAATGGAAATTTTCATGAAATACGAATTCCAAATGTAAAACTATGAGTGACAAACTTCACTTTTTCTTGAAGTCTTATCAATTATCTGAATGTTTAACAGGTTCTGGAAAAGAAAATGACCTTATTCCTGCAGTTGAAGTGCTCTAGATAGATCACAGTTCAAAATTAAAAGTTACTACAATTTTCACACCTAATTGCATATATCAATTGTTGAATCTTGGACGAATAGAAACTGTTTGATTATTTTAAAATTCCGAATCTTTAATAACGCTTCATTTTGATGATTCAAGTTGCATAAAACAGTTCTTATCAGCTTTTTGCAAACGATAAAGTTATGCACTGAATTACATTTTAAACGCCATCATTTGTTATGATCATTCAAATTGTTTGACCTGAAACTTTAGGTGGTTCAGTAGTATTCAAAGCTAAGTACGTGAATTTGTCTCTGGTAATAAGTTAATAATAATAATAATTCGATTAGTAATGTGAAACAAAGCATTAGTCTGTTGACCATCTAACAACACATTCTGTAGGAGTTAAATACGGTCCGAATTAATAATTAAAGTTCATCACTATCCCTTGTCTAAGTAAGTTATTTTTGAATGTGAAATTTGAAATTTTTAAAATGTCATTAAAATCGTACAACATGAGTACATAAGTTTATTGTGTTCCATACAGTGTACGCCTGAAACACTAATTTCCTAATCGGTTTCCAGACTTCCATAAACCTAACACTTTTGAATCTCAAATAGGCCAGTAATGAATTAAAGTTGTAACAAACTGAACTAGCTTCAAAAAGAAATATCAACGACCCTAACAGTTCATTCATTGTCATTCAGGATCTAATTTATAAACACTTCCCATTCCCAAAGAAGTTCAATTATGATGTGAATACCATTTTTGTAAGTTCTTTAATTGAGTCTTTTAGCTAATGAATGTGTGAAGTTTACAAGATAACAGACAAAATATTTACTAAGCAAATTATCCTATTGATGTTCTCCTGCTTAATACGTTGAATAGATATCAGAACAAGAATTCTTTTAGGATTATCATCAAATTTATCGTAACCTATGAGTTTATAGAACAACCATAGTCAACAGTCTTGTGTGGAAAATATCTACAAACAATCAAAGAATAGCATATATAAGCGGACAATATGGTTTTCGATTATATCCTCATCAGGTTTTACTCTAATATACAGTAATGTTTATACGCATATACGAAATTAATAAACCAATCATGGTAGTTAATGATTCAGTGATAACAGTGGAATAGATTACATAAATTAACATAATTAAAGAGTACAAACTAATAGTATGATGACAGGTAAGAATAATAAAGGCTTGTAACCATGTTTCGTAGTGGGAATTAGGTCAATAATTTGAAAAATATAGATGCTGAGATAACATTCATAAAAACTATAAGATTATGTAATAAGAAATGTTCAGATAATTGGACAATGAAGCATATATTTGGGAAAAAAAAGGTGAGAGGATGTGAAAAAAATAAACGAGTAAAGAGTATGGAAAATAATGATAAATAAAATCATTTATTACGGCCATGGGAGAGATAAATGTGTTATGGATTTTTTATGAATACAAGGGCTTGGATCGTTAGCTCGGATCCCTATAGCTTTTGTTATGTGTAAGAAACGAAATCGAACCCCATAAGGAAAACTAGTAGGAATAAGATAAGTAACTTTAAATGATCTATTTCTGTCTACTACATGACCGCTATTGATCAGATGTGATAGAACAGAGCTGCGTATTGTTTTGAAGGTATCCTTTCCTTACCACAAAGGGAGGTGCTCACTAACCCGTTGGCTCAATTGTCTGGTTGTGCCCCCAATATAGCTTTCTCCACAGGAGCAGCTGAATTCGTAGGCACACATAAATGTGGCAGGACCACGTAATTTATCCTTTAGTTGAGGAATTACCATACATCGAGTCGAAAACGATAGACCGAGGTTACCTGCATTAAACATCCTCTTAACTGCTCCAGTCAGTCTATCCCGTAGTACATCTCCAGCTATATCTCTGTCGAATTGCAGCTTCAGGAAGAGAGACTTCTTACTAGCAGTTGATGTTGCTACTTTCCTGTTTGTTACATGCATGTGTTTCTTCAGATAAACTTGTGGATAACTCATTCCAATCTAGTTCCTAGTTTATAGTATCGTCTGAGCATATCTTCCTAGCTCTGTTTGCAAGACATCTAACTAGGTTTCTCCAATAATGAATGTGTACAAAGTTCAAGAAATGCGTGTACCGATTTACTGAAGAACATTTCCTATACACACTTATACTGATAGAAACACTTTCTTTTCTGTTCACTAAAACGTCAAGAAAATATAGTATATTATCCAGTTTCTCTTCATATGCAAATTCGATTGCTGAATGTTTATTATTCTTTTCAAATGTTCTGATCGATAATAATGAAAGTATCATCAATGCAACGATAACAGAAGTCAAGCTTATCGATAACCTCTTTGAGACTATTCAAATTGTATAAACTTTCTGCCCATAAATTCAAACATTTTTTCTAGCTCAAAGGTTTGAAAACATAAAATGATGTGTTTATTAGTATGAAAGAATAAGCAAAAGAGAAAACGGAAACTATGTCAAACAATAAACGCTTGAATAGACAAAATCAAAATATAAATGTGTAGTTTAACATTTGTACACAAATTACAACATACTAAATAGACTATTGGATATCACGTAGGACGAATGTAAAAGTACAAACCGATGATTCAAAAAAGAAACCCTGATCGAATTACCTGTTAACTGTTTTTCATAACAATTTATGGAAGAAATTTGTCTTAGTCAAATGTGATTTGAAAATCATATTGTTGCAAAAGATGAAGAATAAATTAAAAACGTGAAAGAGATAACGAATAACTCAACAAAAAAAACACTAGAACGATGCATTAACAACCAAACTACAGTTCATGAAAATTAGGCCTTAGGATCATAGAACAATGATAACTTGAACTTACCGCTTTTCCACATAGAGCTCAATTTTGAAAAGATAAATGCACATGTTATTAATAAGTGCTCCTCTAAAACTAAATCGTCCGACTGTATAGATGATTTTGAAGCAATTATGAGGTGGAGCCATGTGACTAAAATTTGCAAGAGTTCTCATATTGAACTGTTGATTGTTTTACATAGATCTTTCGAGAGTCACGCAGGACAGTGTTTGGAGATGTGTTTAGAAAGTCCATGTTTTGTGAGGCTAATATGAGTGTACAACTTCGGTAAATGATATTATCGAAAAGAAAATCTTCTTAGCTCAATTGTCTTAATTTTTTCTAATGGCAACACGGGTTACTTTCGTTAATTAATAAATTATCTATTAAAACACTAAATAATAGGGGATAAATACCTGAATAGGTGAAAAATGGGTAAACTGACTGATAGAACGAACAATCAGTTAGATTGCACTATAGACACTAAATAGAACAACTTCACTTACATAATGAAATCACAATAATTCATTGATTTGTAGCCATCATATAAAATAAAGACAGATCAAATCGGAAATGAACTAAACCTAAGTTGAAGGGGGAGGAAAGCTGGACCATAACTTGGTCAGAACTGACTATTAAATCAATTAATTTGTTTCCCTAAATTTCTTACGGATTTATTTGATGCCCAATTTATAAAAAAAAGGATTCTTCTTCTTTGTATATAAATACAACTAACACCTTCCATCCTCCTTTTTTTACATATCTTTCACCATGATTATAAACAAATTATTCCTTCATCACCATCACAATCAATAAATGGTATGAAAATTCTAAATACAATCAATTTCTTTTTAGAAAATTTTATTCATCTTGAACAGAAAACTTGTGAAAATGGTTGAAGAAATTTAGTACTCTTTTTCTATCCTTTCTTGTAAGCAAACCAAAATCGGTTTTATCATGTTAATTATCCGAGTAATTTTAGCATCCCTGAAATATTTACACAGGATCCCATATTTGGAATGTCTTCCAATTAGTACTGTTTTCACAAAAGTAACAAGTTTTGAAGTTTTAGCTAATTCATATAAAAAATAATATAGATAATCTGTCAAAGCTGTAATCTTTCTAATGAGACAAAGAATTCAATGTTAAACCTATTAGAAGTCTTTTAAGTAAAACAACTGTTAAATATACCTCCAATTCACACGATGCATCGACAGATGCTCAACAATTAATGGTAGTTAATTACAACAAAAAATTTAACTAAGTTGATGCTTTATTCTGAGATTTAATTAACACGTAAATTAATAACTCAAATAACCTTGTCCCATTATTATGATGGATTACTGACCATGAAAATTAAGCTGCATCATGTTAAGATTTTTAAAAAATTAACCATAATAAAAGTGATGAATCTTGTGACTGAACGCTTGAATCGGCTTCCTGACCTATTCTAATAACACCAGACTAACGCTACACGACAACTTCAACATGAGAGAAAAGGCGCGAAATATGGAAGGAACGTTTTACTCCAATGTAAGTTTATGTAAAGGAAATTCGGGGTATTTATAGCATTTCAGATGGCCTTGGGCTCCTGGAAAGTTCTGGAACCCTACCAAACATAGTAGCAGGATAGTTAATCATCGAACCAGAAATGTGATGCGTGACTCTTTACTTCTTAGACGTTTACGAGAAACTTCTATTCAATGCTGATCGGATAAAATGTTCCCCAGCGTTTTCAGGGACCCTTTAGGCTTTTTTCTAGGAATTTTATGACTTAACCCAACAACAAGTGGCCTAGTGTTCTATAGATTGAAGTAAGAAATACAACTGAAAAGCAGATCTTACATTCTCATATCTAAAACGTTTTAGCTTCAAATATCAATTCAGTCCATCAATCAATACCATTTTAAGTAATATAATTGATATTTTTTTTACAGAATTATAAATAGTGAGATTTCTATGTGAAATGAAAAATGCTTTGTACATAAATAAACACTCTATCCATACATCCGATATTGAAATGTATTCACAGTCTTCGTATACTGATCTATTTGTAGCTAATAGAATGTAATTAGATAGATCTGAGATGTAAATTACCTTAGATACATAAAACATTATCATTTCTTCAGTAAATTAATGGAAAAGTCAACTACAAATTATTACTATTTACCAAAAATGACCTTTCTTATTTTGTTGTAGTCATGTGTATATATAGAAATGCAGCAAAATGAATTTATCTTCCTATATTTACCACACATTATAGCAAAAAAATAATCTTCATATATTCACACTATTACATCAACATCGAATGAAATAATTAACACCTTACTTAAATTGAAATGTCATAAATGACCTGAATCAATGATTCTTTCTTCTAAAAACGGAATATCTTTTATAATGTATAAGTTTATGAAATGAATACAACAGTAGTACATTAAAGGAAGATCTATTTCTATACCCATGTGTATACACATAGACGTGTGACTCATATCACATGGATAAATCATGAATATGTAAGAATAAATCAACATACATTAAGATAAAAGATGGTCATATGGAAAACAATTGGCAAACTTTTCAGTTGGTTGTCAATGCTTTAGTAAATATTATCATCACTGTTTACAAAAGAACATTCCCTAAATTACAAGTACAAATACATGACGTTTTCCAAAACTGAACAATGAACAATTAACATTAACAATAAGCAAAGGAAGTAGATCGCAGAATAAATAGTTCATTGACTGAACGTCTGACTCTAGAGGTGTACAATTTGGTTTTAAATTTCAATGACGCAAACCATTCATTTCTGTATTGGTTGTTTTATTCTTCCCACTGACGTTTAGAACTACAATTGGTCAGTCTCTTATGGATATATGTGCATCCTGTGCGGATCGCCTCAATATTGCCTTAGGTCACAAGCATTATAAACGGAGATCATGATGGCTAGCAGTGGAATCCATGATGCAGGTCCCGTCTCAATCAAGACTCGTCAGCCGGACGTACGTGCATTAATTGCAGTCTTAAACATCAATGGTAAGATTCAAACAACCTATAGAAAAATGAATAAAATTTCACCCTATTGCACAAACTAATGGCTATCAGGACTGAATAGCTAAGTGAGTAAGGGGATGGCGTTTAAAGTGAATAATACTGGGTTCAAGTTGCGGGAGCGTACATCAACTCTGGGATGCAGCTACATCCGGCTGGCGAGCCCCAAGTCAGACGAAAACGCGTTCTGGATTCCACTGCCAGCTATCACCATCTCTACTTAGAATCTGTAAAATCGCTTATCGGTAATAACTGCTCTACTCAATACTATACTATGAACAGATAACTAATCCACTGTTATTTTTTAGTGCGTATTTTTTGGACCGGCCTCAAAACTCAACTCTAATCATGTTAACCAGTATAAGTACTAGTTTCGTATATTTTTTTAAGAACATTAATGAAGGTGAATTTATGTTATCTTATATCTAATGAGAACCATTTCAAGAACATATTGTGTACTTTACAATAAGTCAATTAAATAAAATGTTCCCAATAATTTTCTTCGAATATACCCAGTACAGTACAACGTCATTACAACAAAATCAATGCCAAGTAAATCGATTGCAAAATATTTTCAAGGAAGTTCATGTTGGTAAATTATTAACTAACCGTTGTGATGATAAAAGCTTAAGATCTAAGAATTTAGTTCACTCGGATTAACTGACAAGAGATAATCAAGTAACTAATGTTCATGATAACCAGTTCAACGATACAGAAGATCTAATAATAAACTATTGAAGATATATGAAGACTAATGATGAATGAAGTACTAAAGGTTGTACTAATGACGGACTATGAAGATTAAGAAGCCACAACTTTGAGAGGCTACATATCATCAGTTTTACTTATGTGAGATAAAAAGAGGTGTTGGTAGAGGCAGGCAAATCCAAACAAAGCAATTCATATTCTAAAATGGGCAGATAATGTTTACGTCAATTCCTTAATACTGATATACTGCGCTAGAGCTGAATATTGAACTGGATTAAAGAAATTTAGGAAGCTATTTGTAAAACATCATCATTTGGAGTAATAAATACACAAAGATGCAACTAAAGATTTGTCTACAATTCTGTAGGCACAAAACATTTTTACAATCTATTGCATGGAAGCTGGATCTTTAATGAAATCAAACACCTGGTACGAAGCACATTCTAGGTATGAGGGCCAATGATGCTATCTGGTTGCCTAAACCAATGCAGTTGTAACGGGGTTCGAATCACAAACTTGGTGGTGGAAAGTTGAACACCTTGACCACAAAGCCACTGTTCTATTCAAGAAGGCTTAATATGTTATGTTGGTGAACTAACGTAAGTCATAGATCTAAAAATTACAAGGATAAGAAAAATGAGATGATAGAACATGTAAGGTGATGGAAAATCAGATCAATCTTAAAAGTGCACCTATACTTTTTTCCCTAACATACTTAATAAACTTAATTCTAATGTTAACTTTATCAAACAACACAGATTGTCTGTTCGATCAATCTGACAAAGAATTTCTACGTAAAGTGCTATTAAGTGTGGGGAAAAAAGGTAGTTTGAGGGAAATGACTTTTATTTAGTGATCAAAAACACTGATAATGATAAACACAGAAATGATGACATTTAAAAAAATATAACTGTAACAAATAATCATAATTGTATACATATATAATATTTTTCTTCTATATTTTATGCTTCTTCACTTCCAACCCTACAGTGTATATTATAACTATTCGGCTTTCATTTCACAATAAACTGAAGCAATTACTGAACCATGTAGTGTTTTATTGGTTGTGAACGCTGTTGACAAAATAGGATGATGAATATATTCATCACTCTGTTGATCATCGTCAAACAAATTAAAACTATCATACTCATTAATAGTACTACTAATGCCCATATCTAACTCTTTATAATTATTATCATTAATATTTGTTAGTAAATCACTGTTACAATAATTATTATTATTATCATCATCACCATGATATGTTGATGTTCCTGAAGTTGTTTCACTAGTTTCAGTACGACCATCATGTACATTGATTTGTAATTCTAATAAATTCACTAATTCTGAAAATGACAATCGTTTTTTGGGATCTATTTGCCAACAATTACACATAATTTGATAAATTGTATTTGATGCTAATAATGGCTTTTCATTACGTACGCCCGATTGAATTGATTGTATAATTTCTGTCATATTAATATTTGGATATGGTGATGAACCAAGTGTGAATATCTCCCATAATAGTATACCAAATGACCAGCTAATAAAGGGAAAATAAAAAAAAACAATTTTTTGCCCAAGTTTTAAAAGTAAACAAATTTTGTGTTTCACAAATTGTGAAACAAAGGACAAAATAGAACACCATTTAATTTGAACAGCTATTCAGTGACCTATGAAAATTGTATCTTCCATAGTTCATCAAATAACTTCTTATTATGGTTATGTTCATCGTTAATGTTCTATATTTAAGCATGGTATATTGGTAGAATAAAAATAAATTCTACTAGCTAGTTATTTCTTCTTTTGATAACAGTTTATTCGAATGAAATTTGGAATAGGTCTCATGAATAGTTTTACTAGTCAATGATATAGTATCATTCGTCATCATTGGAATTTGAAATCACCTTTCTTTATAACAAATATCTTTCCATAATGGAAATATATTAAAAGGTGAATTACCCTTGCTATTCCGACTTGCTTATGACTGATGACCTATCTTATTAAAATATCGCAATAATGAATAATGGTTAAATCGAGGTAGCTACAATATGAGCGATTTATGATTACTGCACTAAAATACTTTAAGGGATAGTAAAGTACAATTAATTATTGACTGGAAATGTGAATCATATAGAAATCGTAATATGATTTCAACACAAGTTACAGAAAAATCCTAACTTATTTGGTAAAGTTTGTTGAAACAACTTGATCAACTTCTTCTTAACTTTAAATGACTTCTGTATACTGGTCGATCATTGAATATTTGTTAATATCATATTTGTCTAGTTCTTAATGTTGATCTAATTCTGTTGACTAAATTTCAATGTGACCACTAGTCTACTTAAGTCGATATAGAGTACGCTCTATTTGGATTTCAGTTTGTTAAAGGTATTCGGTCAGAAAGAAAGTAATGTATCTAGGTTCTGTGTTATTTTACACTTATCAATAAGACTTATCTAAGACCACCACAAAAAATACGCAACAATTTTCTATATGATCCATTTACTACACTATCAACTTCAAAGAGACTGTTATCGTCATTCATTTATATCAATTTTAATCATAATCCGATCTTAAATATGCACAATAACGAAGTTTTTTTTGATGGAACAAATTATTTAGAAAAGTCAAAATTACAACTATCAACACATCATAAGCTTTTTAAGAATGAAATTCTTAACCCTGTTTATATATAATACATTCTGTGAATGACAGATCAATAGCTAATAGGATTCATATAGTATTTAACTATAATTATATGTCAGTTGTTAATGTAACAGGAAAGAAAAAGAAAACCAAATTTGAATGCAAAAAAGAACTACGATAGAAAGTAAACAATATTTAGTGACTTTCTTTTTCTGAAAGATAATACAATACAGTCAACCAACTAGGATTGACTTTGAAGGGTATTTATTCAAGTTTTCAATTATTGATTTCCTTTTATTTTTATCTTGTGAAATGAAATTCTATTGCACAATTTTAGACTGATCGATAACAGACAGATAAATAGGGAGGTATAAATATAGAGAGAAAAAAGAGTACATTATGACATTAAATGTACCGATTCAACTTATAAAATTACACATTTAGGCACACGTAGAAGAAATGAACAAAAGAGAGGAATTAAATGGTAAAAATGATGGTGGTCAATAAAACGATTTCAATCTCAGTAGAAAGAAGTTTGTAAATATCTAGTGCATGTAATAAAATAATGCAGAAATACTTTTAATTCATTCTCATCAATTGTACAGATATATCATTTTCATAAAACTCCACCTGTAGCTCCTCCGGGGGCTACTGCCGGTCCCAAGCCCGGGCAAAGGATGAGGGTTGGGCATGGGGTTAGCGACCCCATCCCATAGAAAACCAACTCGCTATAAAACGCTAACCATAAAAAATTATTCAATCATTTTCATAAGCAAACTTATAATTGTCCACTTGAATCGAGTTAATTAGCAAAGTTGATGTGTATCATATGATGTATCGTTGAATTATGATGATCTATTTGGTGACCCTATTATGCCAAACAAAATAGTGAATTTGTGACATATATTTTAACCAAATATCAGTTTATATATTCTCAAGAATTTTCACTTCCAGTCAACTTTTCATATCAAATAAAAATGAAGACTGTGTATTGACAATTGAACGTCCCGAGTGTTCACTAATCGACTAAGGTTTATCATAGGTTTCATTACTTATTGTTGAGTTCTAGACTATGTAGAAACAATTACTCAATGTTCTCTGTATATCCGTAGTTCTCCAATTGATGTCAGTTAGTAACAAAGAAACCTCCAAAAACTATAAGATTCTCTACAAAATTTCTAACTGAATAATATATATTCATGTAACTGTTTGCGAATGATTTTTAAGTGTTGTACTCATCTGTAAATCTCGTTATATTTCAACCTTACAAAACGTATCATTCACATAAACTACATTTTTATTCAAGTAACTTAAAGCCATTGCATTTTTAATACTACTTGGTCTTTTTTAATAACCAAAAACCTAATAAATAATTGGTCTAAATTAAACCGTTTGTCAGGAGAATTTAACTGGGCTGTAGTAACATAACTGAGTTGTAGAAGCTGAAGTGAATAGATAAGTATGTGACATTTATACTGTTTTATATAATTATATTACTTATGAGTAACTGCTATTTTTTTCAATGTTTTTCCAGGTCTTTTGTTCTTTATGGGTCGATATTCGCTTGACTATGTCGAACCGGATTTTTTACTCGTTACATATACCTGATATTCAATGCTTTTTTTATTTTCATCGACTTGAATACTAAGTACGTATATTTTCCATACAGCCAAGATATATTTATAACTTCGTTTGACATTGGGTATGTATTCGTCATAAATGAAAATGAAAAGAATCGAAGATATGAAGAAATACAGAACTTGAATAACTATAGTTCAAAGAATGGATTGACATACTTCTAAGGATGCTTTCGTCAGACAAATAATACTGTTGATTGACGTCATATTTATACACTCAGCTTTTAATCCATCAGTTCTTCACCCACTTTTGTTAATAAAACAGCATATTACTTAGCTTGAGATAAAGTAATTCAGCTTTCTAAATCTAACTGCATGAATTCGTTTTGCAAATATTTATTTTGTATTATGACTAAAATTAAACCATGATGACTAAGAGGCAAAGCTTCTAATAAAACTAGACATGAAACATCCAGAACTCATGTAGTTGAGAGGTACTTCTTCAAATTTTTCAGTCGATTATTTGCGGTTATCGATTGTTTTTCCCATTACATGCAAATTTATTGTTTGTGTGTATGTGTTATCTATGATGTTGAGGTGAATTTTGTATATTTCAAATTCATATCAACAAAGTATTAAATGGATCAAAAACAGCAAAATTCAAAACCATCTCCACTAAGTTCTTCTAACAACTATTTGATTAAAGAATAAACGTCAACCTACTAGTTTAACTTCACATGAGAAAAATGAGGGAGTAAAAGTTTACAAAAGATAATAGAAATGCTATTCTAGTGGGTATACAGGATGTCCTACCTCTACTGATTCCTATCAAAAATTTAATATCAAGCTAAACCCATAACAATTAGTCTATTTAGTTGTTTAGTGGAAATAGGTTGTACCATATAGTTGTTGGACTTCACATATAAGTACTTTAATCCATTAACTGAATACAACACTTTGATTCATAATTGTTTGTGTCAAAGTTAATGGTATCATTAAGTCACTTATCCATACACATTACTAATTAGTTAATCTGATAATTTTGCTTGCTAAAATCATTGTTTCTACTAAAAAATTCATCAAGTAAATGAATACCAACATCAATATAGAAATAAGTTAATTTTGGAAGTTTTTATTAGCTGACTTACACGTCTGATTTAATTGTATATATTTTGTCACTTAGAGATTCTGGAGCTAACCACTTTAAAGGAACACGACCCTGTTAAAAGTAAATCGTAAACAGAAAATGTGCTAAATTGTGAAACAATAACAAATTAATTTCCTTTCTACATTATAACGTATTATATTCTACAGCCCAATATAGTTTTTAACGCATACTCTCAAATTCCTTACTAACTCAACTACCCAGAAGGAGTAGACTGGAATTGCCTAGATTGCTGTTCTTATTGCTAAAGCTGAATAATAATGTTAACAACCCTTCCGTATTTATATAACTTGACACTAACGCGTATAGAAACATGCATGCAATCATTTTAACCAGGTGAACAGTAAACTTTCTAAACTCTCTCCTCTCTCATTATATGGAAAGCATTTCCTTGTATTCACCTATTCCACTTGATATAAGCAGCATATTCTTGACACAATTACAAATTTAATTTTCTTAATAAAAAAACATTTCCATTGAAACTATCTAGCACAAAACTTTGACCACGTAAAAACAATGTAGCACTTTTCAAATTGCATACAGTCAGTTAACTTTGATGACAGCTTGGTTGCGACATGCAAAACAGATAACGAGTGAATGAAAAAATACTTTAAAACTGTCTTAAAAAGTAGTATGACCGACTTGAGTAAATTAGTTTAGACAGCGTTTATTCCAAGTAATTGAAAAAATACTTTCATCAGTATAGGGAGGGGCTTTATCAAGACTGTTGATTTTTCCTAGTTTTATCGGAGACTGATTCAAGTTGAACAACCACTGAAGACCAGGAGAAAAAAGAGCTGTCCAGGGCTTTTTGAGACCAGTTCATGATGTAAGCTACAAAAATTTAGGTTATATGGTGAGAACAGTTGAAGAACCATTGACAACAAATGAGTACTGGATATTTAATTTGGTCTGGTTAGAAATGTTTAGTAGCCCACACGAAATAATTGGAATAATACAGTCTTCATCAGAAAATAAGGAATTATTTTGTGAAGTCATCAACTCACTATCCATACAATGTAAGTAGGTGAGGTCTATCTGACTGGTATATATGAATCAATTGTTAAATATTATGGGTGTTATAGGCTAATATCGAATTCGATAAGGTGAATCCATTCACCATATTTTTTATAATAAATCTAGCTTACTAGTTAAGCACAAATTCACTATATAATCGGCCTTGAGTCAGGCTCTTCGTATGAAGAATTGTAATACTACTTGGTTGTCCAACGCAAAGTAGATTACGATATTCGAGTCTCCAACTTTAAAGTAAATGAACTGAGAATTAACTTCAAAATGTGATCTGTCACTTAAGCAAAACCACCACCTACCTCGAAGTTCTATGATGGCTTAAGAGTAAACCAGAATATAGCATCAGTCGATAAAGTCAATGACCATTGGTTTGAGCCTTCGTAGTAGATCAAGGCTACCTGGTTTAGGTCTGAAGGATGATTGTGCTCATTGCCTGGAGACTTAAGAATGACACACCTTCACTTCTTATCTTTCTCTAGATTTCGATTTGTAATATCTTTTCACGTAAGCTTTTCTATTCCTTCTCCTTTGAGTCATATTCTTAATATTTGGTGCTTTTAACTATCAGTATAATTATTCTTGTTTAGACTATTCGGATATTTGTCTTGTTAATTTAACCTCAGTTTTGATCATTTCATAATGTCGATTTGTGCTAGTACACATTTACGACAGGTCATATGCTATTCTTGTCTGGTTAAATTTATAATGAAATTGTAGATAACCGACATCTTAGATTTATAAAAGAGTAGGATTTTAATTTAAATCCATGCTTTGGTTATATTCCAACTATAAATAATACTTTAAATCACCGAACCAAAATATTTGTTATCATTATAATTTTAGTTAAGAGTAATGATGAAACTAATTTATAGTCATCAGTACAGGGTTGTGGAGATTGTTGAGTTTTAGTTGTAACCAGTGGAGTTCAACCGTGTCGGGTGTAAGGCAGTTATCCACCGAAGACAATGGAAGATGGTCGCGCTATAGCATGGATTGGTTAAATTTAGATATTAACACCATTGGATGCCGGGTCAGTGGTTTGGAGGTTAGGCGTTCGTGCGCGAGACCGTGGATGTGCACTGCTGAAAAGTCCCGCGCTAGTACGAAACGGCAGTTCAATGCCTCCAGGCCCTTAATGCTGGGATAACACTAATCGGTTCATGATATCAATTAATTTATAATCATTGGTTGGTGGATACTCACATTTTTCATTTTCCGATAATAATTTTCAGCAAATCTCGTAAGTCCAAAATCAGCAATTTTTAATTTATAATGTTTACCAACCAAAATATTACGAGCAGCTAAATCACGATGGATAAGCTGTTTTTAGATTAAAAAAAACAAAAACAAACAACGATGAATATAATCAAATCAAAATGTTAAGCGGTCGGAAGAAGCCGACAGAAAACTTTGAATGACCTAGGTTATCGTGCTATTTGGCACTCATCAGCAAGGTACGCTTATAATCATTAGGGAACTGGTGCAGCCTGGCGGATTTGATCCCATCATCCAGCTTTACAGTCACTAGATAACACTAGTTAGCTCCTTGAAGATTGCTGGTATACCTTTCTGATGAGTTCAAAATCGCACGAGACACAGGTCAAGTAGAGTTTCTTATCAATGACTTCCAAAAAACTAAAATCCCAACATGGTGCATGCAATGTCGAGTCACCTAGACTGGTGACCGCACTGCAACTTCATCGATAGAGTTCAATCAGGACTGAAAAGGACTAGACAAATCTGACATTGGTGACCACTCAGTGGTCGATTGTAACAACCGAATTGAATCTAAGTGTAAACAGTATAAGTTTGTAGTGTCTAGTACTATGTCAAGTCCACATGGGTACTCTAGCTTCTGTACAAGCCCATTTAGTAATTCTTCTTCAGTTATATTTAGACCTTGTCAATTATTCGCTTACAGCTTAGACCCTTTTTATATGAGCTTACGTATTTGTATCCCTTATGCTATTCATCACATGTCGTGAACCTATTTTTGTCTGGCTATAAATACTGAGTCACGAATTACCAAGTGGAGTTGACACGCTTGTCTTCCTCCGGTATGTTTCTCTTTCCCACCTCTCATTCTTAATGTCTGTATGATTGAACGATTTCCTGAAATAAGTTTATTCAACTAAACTCATATTAGAGTGCTTATTACCTCCATTACCCAAATGGGGTTAGCCTAAGTGTAATATACGGAGTTAAATGGAAGATATGTATTGATGGCACATTCATACGTCCTTTTAAATTGAAGTCAGGTCAACGGGCCACTAAAAGTTTACAGTTGGATAAACAGTTTCATTACTCACATAGAACACATAACTACAAATGAAATATATCGCCAGATACTCTATGAGGCATTGAATTATGAAGCTATAACATAACTCACCGGATGATACAAAAATATTTGTTTACCAGGAGCCAATCTAGAGAAGTGAATACTAGGAAAATATTGCCTTATAAATAAAAAAATTAACTGTTGCAAAATAAATATGAGAGAGTTGTACAACTTTTCTCAGTACAAAAGCTATGATACTGATAAACTAATAAGTGTGCTTAAACAAGAAACTGCTTTGATTTAAATTTTAAACCCCATGAACAACGGAATCTTTCTCTTAGCCCAAATCATACTTACACATTTTGACTCCAGATATTTCATGCCATCGGCAACCTGATATCCAAAATTTAGGAGTTTCAAAGACAAATTGTCGCAATTCAACCAAATTTTCTGATGACGACGTAGATACTCTTTGAGATTCCCATAAGGAGCATATTCCATTATTAAAAGTGGTGAGCCTAGAATATATAAAACCATTAGTACTTACCAGCTGTATGAAAAAGTACAAAACCTGTAAAATATATATCTAAACTTACAAAAAGTCATCAAAACAACCAGAACCATGATAGTTTAACAAATCTTGAAAAAAAGAGACATTGACCTTGGAGAGACTGATGTCATATAACAACCTGAACGTGCTGCACAATAACAAGTTTATTGTAAGTGCTTCCAGATCATACATAAGTAATACAACTGACTTGAAGATATTCCAGACCAAATATTTTTTGTTTCTCCATAATTTTCGATTTTATGGCTTGATTTAATTAGGCAAAGTAGTATAACCTGCAATATCAGTACATATCACCTGTATAAACTCTGGGATGATCCGTTCCAAAGTAGTGGTTGCTTCCCATGTTGGTCAAGCAGTAATTCCCTAATAGGATTTAGGTATGATTTATTCATGTTACCTTAGGTTGTGATAGTCAAAACTGTTAAATTTGTTGCCGGTTCCTGATGTTTTACAGACAATAGTGGCATCATATATTTGGTATGTTGAGAACTCACTGAGATGTGGTAGGATTCGTTGTAACTGTAAATTTGGCAGCTTTACTAAGATGAATACTGAACCAAAAGCTCTGACTAAATGTGAGCTTAGTACGATTTGTGGGTGAGGTGGAAAAACAGCTTTTACTAAACAGATTGCTTTTTGAATATGTTTGGATAGCACATGAATACTAAAGCAGTCACATTTTCTCACACTAATCGATTTGGTCTGTATGCTGTGCTTTACTGGATTATGCATATAGGCCATGAATAGCACTCTTAGTGTGTCACATATATAGAGGCTCGGCAATGTCAGATAGTCATTTTCGGGAGGACAACAATGAGTCAACAAAGGCTAACTTAGTCAATCAATTTGCTGAAAAGTAAGATTTTATCACGTGCAGTTTGCCGTAAGTATTCTTTTTGTGAGAACATCAGAGCTCTACGTCTATTTTTTTATTGTGTCAACAATTTTCGCATAATCCAGCTACTAGAATACACCAATGTAACCCGTGTCTTGTTCCGACTGTAAAAATCGAATATACTGGAGAGCATTAACATTAATTACTTTAAACGTAACGAACATTCTAACTATCCTACTTCTTTTACTCAGTCCACATACATGTTGATGAATTTTATGACCGATTAGAATAACGTCATCATTCAATCGAAAGACAAAAGAAATGACAGAAACATTCAGTAATATAAAAAATTAATATTGATACTATGAAGAGGGTATTAGAATATAGGCTAACCATTTTCCGTACAAACTCCATAAAATTCAATGATATGCTTATGACGCAATTGTTTCATAATATTCACTTCCATCAGGAATTCAGAGACATCTCCTTCTGTGAAATCATCTATGTGTAGTGAAAAAAATTGAAAAGCATTTAACTAGATCTCTTATTTTAAGAGGATAAGTGTAGAAATTGAAAGTGATTTACTGATATTACATATTTCATGGTAACTTTACTCAATCTTAATGGGAAGACAGTGCCGTACATCAGAAACTCTTTCAATACCTCTGAACTTGGAATCTTTAGTATAACTTTACAGTCTATTATTTCTAACCTTGTTAAAGCATTAATGAAAAATCTAGACATAAATTTGAATGTGGTGGTACAGTATCAAGAACTCAAGACAAAAGAAATCCATAATGAACAAAATATTATAAAAGCGAAAGCGGTCATAAATGGTGTTGTCTCTTGGACTGTTTATTATCACTTGATAAGATCGCCAATCAAAACACAGAGGCTTTTTTGACCTTGGCACTATGCCAGTATGAGCGGCCTGGAGTCAACTCTGAGTCCTTATTGTGGCCCTTCTCTCCTAGTCCTGACTGTTCGAGTCCAGAACACAAACCTCAGCTCCCACCGCATGGTATGAATCATGCATTTCAGACATACGCAGTTTATATACAAACAAATCAGACCTCAACACGCCATAAAATAACAAGTAATGGTCATACAAGATCGAGTCAAAAGTGGCTATGGTTGTGAGACAGGTGGCCTGCTTGAATATCTGGGCTACCTGTCCCTGCTATTTAGATGTTTCAACAATTTATCTGTTTCTGTTTGTTTCAACACATTATAATGTCCATTATTCGCATAACCTATTCAGGCCCGTTTGTTAAAAGTCTACGACCTTTCGCTGTACAATTTACAAAACAGTACAATCAGAGATGTCATAGTTGTTGGCAATCTGAATTGAAAAGAATGAACATTATTCAAATATCGATCCCTGAAACTACTTACATCTAACTGGCAATCACTCGATAATTATCGCTAGGATCAATTAAGAAATAAGAAAAGGAAACTTGAGATACTTTGTGCTGAGAATTCTTTATTGTACCAAATATATAATATTCAATAAAGCCATTAATAGTAATAATAACTAATAGATTGGGGATAAGTTAAGAGTAGTAAATCGTATAATAGTTGATAGGTCAAATGGAAGCTTATAGTACAAGAAAGATGAATATACATAATATAATTATACTTGATAGTTATCCAATAGAAACATATGTAATAACAGTCTATAAATAATTGTTAGTCGTTACCATTCGTTTATTCTTCGTTAGGATATAACAAATAGTTTGAAAGAGAATGGGTAACTTTTAAAAGTAGAAATTACTCCACTGGTTCCAAATTTGTGGACTGAAAAATGTACATATTTATGCTTACATAATTAATGTTATTCTAAAGATTAAGAAGGGTAGGGTTACGCTGAATCCTCACAACTAAAATGATTGCTGGTAAGTACAAGTTATAATGAATGACAGTAAGGGGGAAATGGAGGTATTTTAAATTGATAAGTATTAAACAGGGTAAATACATTTTGAATTACACGGGTGATTATCCCAGGTAATTTATTTTCGTGATATTCTATTTTGTAATAGTGAGGCTTAAGCGATTTAATTGAATTTTCTTCAGTGCTAATAGATGAAATTACTTTGGCTTTCCATACCTAGATACTTTTAAACGATGGTCTAACAAATAACAAATTTTCAACCATGAACTATAAAATCCTAAATATCTTTCGACATTTCAGCTGTCATACAACCCTCTTCACTGTAATTGGTCAGCAAACTAAATTGATGAAGGCTTCAATGAAGATGACATAGAAAAAAAGACACTCTAAAAGTTTATTAGTGGATAAAAATCACTCCAACTCCGGTAAGGGTCATTGCTATATACCGTGGAGATTTATGAATGGTAACTTTGAGAACTACTTATGGACCAATCTGATATGTAAATTTCCTATTGTATAATTGTTAAGTAACTAAACTATTCATATCCATGTTCTTTTTATTATAAGCTTTATTTTGACCTGTGAACTATTATTATACGATTTACCATTCTTGAGTTGTCCCTAGTCCATTAATTACTGTTCCCCCTATTCACAGTAACATTTGGCTAAATCTTGTACAAATGTTATTTTCTATTTTATGGTACGATGTGGTCAGTTTGTTTGATATATAAACCCAGTATGTTTGAGAGTAATGTTCATATTGCAGAAGCTGTTATCGGTGTTCTGGACTTAACTGGCTGGGCTAGGCAGAAAGCAGGACTGATAAGTACTCAAGACTGCTCATAGGGCTTTTGTATATCATTGGGCAATCGAAAAATTCACTGTTCTCTAATAAACATGCACACGATATAACAGTCATGAGTCAAGTGGTGAACCAATGTACACTATTTTTCAATAGTAACTCTAACCGACATCCTTCTGTTAAACAAATCCCCTACAAACATAACAATTAGTTAACCATGTAATAATCTTCATTCAACTGAGTCAAAAATTAAAGGATATATTAATCAGACCATATGATACTGCCTTCGTTGGTGGAATGAATTTTTCAATGGCTTATATCACGGTCGTAGCCCAGATTCGATTTCAACCTCAATGGTAAAGAAAAAAACATGGAAACATTTTTAAAAAAATAAAAATAAACACAAACCTTTTAAAGTTTTAACAGCAACATCAATTTTTTCATTTGTGTTAACACAATTTGGTAGATTTTCTGCAACACCTCTATAAACAATACCAAAAGCACCTGAACCTAATCGACATATTAATTGAATATTTTTACGTGAGAACTCATAATCTTCATCTTTTTTAAGTTGATAATTCGATAAAAATAGTTTATCTAGTTCTTTTAAACGTTGTAAATCTTTTTCATGTGTGAATCTGTTGTAAAGCCGTTGACTCTCTGAAGATACATAACGATTAGTAGTATATCGTTCTTTAATTTTATTTATAAATTTCGGTGGACGACGAGTGACAATAGTGTTTATATTAATCACAGGTTTATGAATTGGGTCTAACATTAAACTTGTGGTATTTTCAAATGAATTATTATCCGAATTATTGTTGTTTGATATTTGTGCATCAGTTGTAGCTAACTGATAGTACTCTATAGAACGTCCAATACTTATCAACTTGTATGTAATAATTTCAGATTTTCGTCTCCATAACCAAACCAGTTGAAGAATCACTAAGATAAAGACGAACAACAGGAAATACGGGAGTAATTGAACAATCCAGTAGATTAATGCTACGGGGGGAAGAGGGGAGAAGGAGTAAAATGAATATAGAAATATAAATGGATTAAGTTAATTGAAAACTATTGAGAATTGTATTCATAGAGAAAAAAAAACATTTCCGAAACATGTAAACCGATATCAAAAAGCATTTTAGAGGTGAATAATTGGAATTCAGTAACAAAATACAGGTTCACATGCTAAGTGGCTATAATGTCATGATTAAAAATAAACTGTCGAGAAATGGAGATAAATCAAGCACGACTCCATGGAATAACTGTCAAGTACCTAGATGATTAAACTACAATGCTATTCCTACCTTAAGGCTTAACCACAAGCGAAAGTAAGATAAAGCATATTATCATACCAGCCAGTTAAACTAAATTACAATAAATAGGACGACTCAATCGCACACTGACATGGCGTCTTCAAGATCAAAACGTGCACGGCTAAATCACACCTAGCTAAGCTACCAGAACCGTGATAAGATGGTAGATTCCAAATCCTATACCAAGTGAATCCTAACTTTATTTCAATGGCCATTTTTGTTGCGCTAGAAATGAGGAGAAAACGAAGCCCTAAATTAAAAGCCAATACAGATTGGTTAAAAACAGAATGTATATCGGCTGAAACAAGATCAAGGTCACAAAAAGTGTTCATGAAACTTAGACAATAGAAAGGTTGAAATAGAGTGGGCGTCGAGATTTGAGATTTGGAAATTGGATAGGGATATGTATTAGATGGTTGATTTTAAATGAGTCATGCGATTCCAAGGTCACTCTGTAGGAAAAGTTGGTAAGTTAGAGCATACATATAGTTTGAGACATAAGTTAGAACTAATTTTCTACCTCTAACTCATATAGCGTAGCTGACTGCTGACTCAGACAACTAAGAAACATCTAAAACGGACCGATTGAATTCGATTGACACCGAGTAATGAACAATGGAATACTGTATGCTTACCAGTAATCACGTAGTAATAAGCAATTTAGTCTTAGCAGTAGATCCAGCAGTGGTAGAGATAGTTCAGGGGTCGTGTCACTACGACACTGAGTTTACCTTGGTTAGAATCCCACTGATAAAATCGATTGTGAAGTTTTGGACTTGAAACGGCTATTTTTATAAATAATGCTACCATTGTCCGTACATTAAACGATTCCGGGATGTAAACCAGTTCGAAAATTTGTCTTACAGAGATTATAGCTAAACAGTGCATACTTCATCTTAAGTGAAATTTACAACCAAATCCACCTAAACTGATTTAATCGATTAACCAATTTCCTCTTTCTGAGAACCCGCAATTGTGCTTTCAAAGTTCTATACAATAAATTTCATTGAATTATTTTCAATGTATAAATCCAATTCCTAGTTTTAATCATCAGACAAAGTTATGTAACTACTAACAGTTTAAAGATAACTCCTTGACGTAGTGGTCGGGCTTGCCTATCGTGATGACCCAACCGAGCTATAATGGCTGGAACATATGTTCCTGTAGGTTCTACCATGTCAGGCAGGTTGAATGGAGAACGGTAAGACTAAAAGCAGCAACTCAAGGTCTGAGGGCGAAATCATACTGCTGACTGTAGAGGGGTGTGGAAGCAGTAAGGTGTTTCCCTCGGACAACCAGCATAACAGCGATGCTGCCTTCTCACAAGAAAGGAAGGGGTTAGAAAAGGTCGACACTAAAAATGTCACGCCTCACCATACCTTACAGATTTCCGTCTCCAACGATAAGGCCTTTTGAAGAACGGAGCTAACACGTCAAAAATCCCCCACAAAAAGGCCGTGCGTGACCGATCTCAAGCAGTTGTCCCTTGAACTCTGCGATCACGCTCCCAGGTCGTTAAGACCAACATTAATCCAACTTCCTTTACGGGTCCCTCAAGAAATACCCTTACACGGTGTGAGCACTCGAGAAGTGATATTATCCCTCATACCCGTAACAACACACGAGACCAAGTTGGTCACATTCAAATCTTTCCTACACCTCCTAATAACTCTCTTATCTCCACGACTAACCCTTCTCACGTCTTTTTATCACCTCGCACCGCGAGGTGATGAGCGAGAACGTTAATACGTATTATAAACAAATGAGTTAAGTGACAATTAATTTGTAATCTGCGTTGAAGTCGATTTGAAGCAGTCATCGAAAAATATAGCCTATGTAATCAAGACTGAAAAACAGTATGAAGTCGACAATGATGTAGTAGATGGGTCATTCATCTTTCTTTTCTGTTCTAACCTTATATGTTTATTCGTCATTAGTTAAAATAAAGAGATTCATACTAAATGCCAATCGAAGTCAGTGACTAATAAAAATAAGACAATAATTCCAAAGATGTTTATCGGGCTGTCATTCAATTATTTGATTTTAACACTAACTTGAATTTACGTACATAAAAAACAGATTCCAGACCCTTATTCAAATGGTATGAATAAAAACTATGGGTCAGGTCCTAATTTGATTGGAGTGTGACATAAGAAAAATCTACCTTACCGCAACCCTTATCTTCCAAACTACTTAAAATCATGTTTACTTTCAGGGTTAACATTTTGCATATAAGCATGTTACTTCAGTAGAGAAACAATCTATTCTGTCAGCAGTATAATTGTCTTTTAATATCAGTTGGTTCGAATGTCTATACCAACAATTCTGTTTCATAAGTATTTGTCAGTCAATTACACTGTATGATTGTACATCATGCATCTACTAAGATTCTGTTCATCGTTTCAATGAGAGGCATGAATCATTGTCATTATCGAAATTCGAAACTCTCCTTTTAAAACCCGGAGGGTTCTATTTTACTCAACCAGAAAACTGCACTTTTAATAGTATTCTATTCAAAGCATTGTCTTAATCCAGAAACATCCGCTCTTTAATGAATTCTGTTTATTTTACAAATTCATTTTGCCTGGAAAAATACAGTGTAATATTGGATTCTTATTACCAAACGATGTTTCAAATATTCATTTTCTATGAAAAGAAGATATGGGGTGACGAGGTCCTGTGTAAGTCAACAGCATATTTCAAATCGATTAATATCGCCGATCGATATCCCATTGGAAATAAAGAAGTATTAATATGTCAACTTCTCATTTAAACCTCTTCTACACAACTGACTAGTGACATGAAATATTAAAATGCATAAAAATAATAAAAAAACGATCCCGAAGTAACATCTGATTTTTTTAAGTTTCTTCCAGATGGAATTAACTTCAGATGCAAACCGACATTAAATTCATTAAATATCACTAAATGGAACCAAATCATAATAGACTTCTAATTTATTGAAATATTCTTACGTTTAGGACAATTCATATTAACTTCAAGTTTCATGTAAGTCGACATTGGAGTTGAATATTCACCAGGAACAATAAAACGACAGTAATAAAGTCCAGAATCATTTTGAGTTACTGGTCCATATCTATATTTAAATGTTTTGTGATCTCGATCGTAAGTTTGATTCTGGAAATTAATAATTTGATCAATTTTAGTAATAATCGATAAAGTAAATTACTGACAATAAATAAATACATCTTGGAAACTGTGATATAATTTACAGTGCCTGTAAATTTAAGATGTATAAGAATGCAAACAGTTGAATGATATCCCATTAAAACATATATGACTATTGAAAACATTCTGATCATCGTCTCAATGGAGCGATTGCAAAGTGCTAATTATTAACAGGTACTCCGTCAACTTCATTTTACCACTAGAAATACTGTAACTAAAATTATCCACTTTGTATTCACGTTGTAATGTAGTTCTGTAATAAGGTACTTTGTGGACTAAAACCAGGGAGCTTAGGATTATCAATACAACTCAAGAAATTGCCATTCATTTTGTGGTAACTTTGAAACGTTTTCCGATCTTATGATTAACAACGTAGCTAGCTTGATGACATTCGCAGACACAAGACTCCTAATACTAAGTCTACACTAGTATAGTAGTATATAGACACAATAATATAACTTCACATTAACAAACGTGGAAACTACTCTATGTATCCACTGTATCAGAAACAGCCTGAGAATGTTTAACCGACCGTGATGTAAACCATATGCCAAGTACAAGATCACGTACTCAGATCTGAACCACACTTTGTGAAGGTTAGTGATACTACTGCACAGCCTCCTAAACTGAATTAGACGCAGAGGAGTTTGAACTTGGTAGTTACAATGCACACTAGATAATGTCGAGTAATTAGTAAATGTATGACCTATCGGGTCGAATGAATAGAAACCAACCCAGCTCATAGCAATAAACAAGCTATTTTCTACAGAAACAATCTCATCTTCACATAACAGAAAGATGTATCCCATCCCTTTCAGAAGGGGAAAAGCAGGGTAATCAAACCCATTAACACAAGGAAATAATTTAGGTATATATATACGGAGACCGTCTAGTGTGATACTATGAGAAGCAGAATATGAGAATTCTGATAATGCTTTCAAAATATTGTTATTATTTCAAAGATAGTACACTAGATTTTGAAACGTCATTTAACTTCGTTAGAGAAATAAAACTGAAAATAATGACAGTGAATTATTTTATGAACAGAATATTTCAGTCGCAAAAATACTGGTCGGATAAGACTTATTCGATTGAATAAACGCTAAGATTTATACTAATATAATCCTCTCAATGTCTTACATTAACTTGGAACCATACTGCTGAGGAACTATTCAGTTTAATTTGGACGAAAGTTCTTATAAAAAACTTTTTCGAGTTTCTTATAAAGTGTTCCATACCTTATATCACAGTCGAACGTACCAAACCAACAGTGTATTATGAAAAACTCACAAAAAACTATATGAATAGTACCGAGACAATTTTCCTACGAAAGTTTTTATAAAATAAGAGTTAATGCACATTAGGAAAGACTTCAGTATAGTGACTAGGAAAGTAGTTTACCGATAAGACGATAAAAATCACTGTGGAAATAAATGCCGATGATATACTCGAAATTAAAGTGAGATTCGATAAATCAGTAACAACATGCGAAAAGTAAGACAATTAGACTGGAGTGTAATCAGTAGTTATTACTGTCTACTATGGTAGTTGTAGTTATTTCAGGAATGTAGAACCAGATTAGATTTTGTTCTCTGCCATACTTCATCATTGAGCCTAATATAATCACTTTGCTTCATATCCATCAAAAACTTAATGATCACAAAAGAAATGTTGTCAAATATAAAACTTTAAATATATACATAATTCAGAAAAATAACTTCTTGTTACCGTTACCATATTGTATTCCTTTCAGACAAGCGAGAATTTCCGGGGACGAAAGCACATTGACAAACTGGGTAACTGCTCATTTTCAAACCTGGTTACTTGAAAGTTAAAGGACTAGATTTAAAACCCCTACCTATCGACCACTGAGTATCTGTGGGGTACAGTTTATGGTGCAGTGGTGTACCAGGCCCCCAAATGCCCTGGTACGGTCGAGAGTGGGGAGAGTCACCTCTCCCTCTCGAAATACTCTCACATGGCCAGCGAATATATAGCCTCTGTCAGGGAAGTCCTACTCACTGCCTTCTCGTGGCATCACTGTTGTTTACGAAAGTGAGAGGACGAAAAGCGAATGTCCGGCGCTTTAACCGGGTTGGTGGACATGGAGGGTCCACCTAGGGGAGTTGAAAAACCCTGATTTCAAACCAATGGTGCACATGGGCTCCAGTATCCTGAGGGAACAAATGACGTACGAATCAACCGTTGATCACCGGCTACCATGGGACTGCATCTCCTTAAGATGCTCCACTGCCTTGTGGATCAGACATTCAGGTCAAAGTCTCCGGGTGTGGCCCCCTAAGAAAACCACCTGCTTCAGTCTGGGCACCTGGGCAATATCACAGCCCTCACACAAATCGAATGAGATTTGTGAAGCGCATATTTATCTGGTGCTTCCTTGTACCAATATTTATGTGTTTAAATAAATAAATAAATAAGTGGTGTACCTGCGTCAGCTCGTCCGAACGAATACTACGTTTTCTTCATGATGAGTATTGGGTTTCCGAAGGTTATCTTAGGTGAGAACTAAAGTTAGTCCACTCGAGAATGGCCTCTCCCATTAGCTATAGTAGGTAGGCAGTATTTAGCAAACACAATAAAATGTTGTCGCTATTAGTGATTGCAAATTAACATTATTAAGTGAATAGGATTCAATCTGCATTAACGTGGCACTCAGTAGTTTCAACATACAGATTATCCCTAGTATTACTCCTTCTTAGTCAAAGGAAGTGTGTTTTAGGTCATCTGAAACCATACTCTAGATAACGCGTAACATATCAATAAGCTGATTGTATGTCTATTTGCTTGCACATGATAAGGTACGGCCACTTGGACCAAAACACTAGATATTGGGGAGCGATCATAATAAGACATAAAAATTCTCTTGATAGTAGAGCTTGACCACTACTGAAGTCCCTTATATTTGCACCCGACGTATTTTCTTAATGATCATTTATTTCCTTGTTTCCAACACATTAATGAGAAATAGGGATAACGTAGTTATAAATAACTTCATAGTCACTAAAGGATATAAAATCAGAAATGTGAAAACACGAAAATGTTTTGCAGTCTACTTATCATCAACAATGAAGTGAGACCGAAACCATATGAATCGTCAGACAGTATTTAATAGTATTATTAATTTGAGGCATGCTATATTTATATAAAGAAAAAGGAATTGATCACAATTACAACTGCCTAAATAGCTCAGATGCCACCTCAAAAAATATAACCTTGCGACAGGATTTAACAACATTAGTTTACTTCAATAATGTATCAATTTAGATGGTAGCCTGTTACTGTCATACTTGTAGATACCGTATGAGTAGTCATTAGCCTCTTAAATTGTTAGCATCGCAGAGATAATTGTTTTTATTTAACTGTTAATGGTTTTGCTTTTCCATCTGTTACAAAAAAGCTTGAAGTATTTTGATTACAGCAAAGCAACGCGATAGGGAAATTCAGTCGTTTGGTGAATAATGTAAAGTAATTCTATTAGAAAAAGCTTGAACCATCTTGACCAGGTAAAAGCATCAAAGTCATTATCGTGCTTCATGTTGCTGTGTTTGAGCAAACTTCTTACTGATCTGACTATTTTTTAGGATAAAAACTATTTCCAGGTCTCCAGCAACCGAATCCCAAAAGTTTAAATCAAAAAACACTATTAATCCTGCTATTAATTAAAGTGAACCATAATGGTGACATATATTTTAGTGGACTACACACTCCCAGAACTCCTCCAAATCAGGTACTTACCCATTTATGAACTCCGTGTTCTTCGAAAATCTTCCTTAGGGACCGTATAACCAAATTGGGATAGGGATCCTTTCCGAAAATTTCGGCCTCCTGTTTCTCTTGGGCACTCAAATTTGCTGGGATAAATTCATTTTCCAGCTTGTAAATCCCCAATACTCCATCAGTCAAATGTTCACTGAGTTCACAGTTAAATAAATAGTAATCTCCCTCACAAACTACATCGTTATAGTTGAATCGGAAAACGTCGGGTCTGAATGGAGTGCAGAAAGCAGATGTAATGCACAACAACTTGAATAGATCACGAATAGAAAGAAATAGGTGCATTTCAAACAATCTATTGTGCACAACAATAATGAACTCATCAGCGAGGACAAAAATGAGAACAGGCTAGAACATGATTTGTGGCCGCTTTATGACTAATCTAACCAGACAGTCACACAAGTGGTTAATCCTTCTTACAAGGTCACTAAAATGTAGCCAAATAGAAATGGAAATGTAAAATTGTATTTTTGATCAGTAGCGTAATTTTGTCTTTATTTTTTGGTTTCTCCATTTTAATTGGTTAAAATATTATTTAGGTCAGAGGATAAGAATAAGAGCAGTAAATCCGTCAAGGCTATTGGCTACTAAAGTTTATGGGTTTGTGAAATCTACTCTTTTACTGCTAAATGATTAGAATTAAATTCACCATTGTGGCCATGTTTGACTCGACTACAAAAACTGTGGGACAAAATCTACTCATAAATCTCGGGTTGGTGTATGCGTTTCCGAAAATTTATTGTCACGTGATATTTATCAACTGACATAAGGAAGTACGTAATTTGAGTAAGCCGCTGGGTTAAGTATGTCTTCAGAATAGCTATGCGACAATTCGGGCAACCTGGGCATATTTATAGACTCATTATCTCAATGTGATTCTTATAACAACTGGTTAATTTACATTAGTGAAAATTCAAAAAACGGTCGACATTGAGATGGTGAAGGTTTATAGCTCAGGTGAAGTTTTGTTCTCTGAGCTGAATGGTTTGGTTGTGGAGCTTTCATCGTTATTCTGAACATCATCAAAGTTAAACCATTCAGCTCAAAGAGCACAATTTTAACAAAAGCATGCAACACCTACCACGTTTCCTCATCGCCTCAACGATAATATCGCAAATCAAGCAAAGACGTTTCTTCTTTTAAAGTTCAAAATTCTTCCCTTTGATATTTTTGTAACTGTATCACGCAATAAAGTCGATATTACCCGTAAAACTGATGTCAAATTATTCATTGGTTTTAAAAATATCAGTTCATTTCAAATCTTTCCAATTATTATCTCTGAACAAATGTTTATATTTCAATAATAACCATTTTGATTCAATTTTTTTCAAGAAAAATGGTTTCACTTCCATTGAACTCAATGCGTTCCACATTTATGTGAATAATGAGGGCGGTTTATTTAAATCTTGTTTTCCATTTACATTGTTTCAACGAATAAGTTGTTTTTTCACCAGTCCTGTTTTGCATAGCGAAATTCAACCGAAGTAATTATTGTTGTGGAAAGCATGGAATACAATAGACAACTCGGAATCAATTACAAAATTCGGACTTCGTAGATGACCTGCCCTTCTATCCCGTACACACGAAAAAATGCAGATGAAGACAACTAGTATAGTAGAAGCCTCTTCATTAGTAGCCTTCAACATAGACAAGGGAAAAAGCAAGATTCTTAAATACAATACGGAAAACGCTGAGGGAATCACACTTGATGGCGAAACTCTGGAAGATTTGGAGACATTTACGTACCTGGTAAGCATCATCGATGGGCAAGGAGGATCAGATGAGGATGTAAAGGCGAGGATTGGTAAAGCAACAACCGCACTCCTGCAATTGAAGAAAGAACATGTGGGACTCAAAACAACTGTCAACCAATATCAAAGTCACAATCTTCAGTACGAACGTCACGATGGACATACTGAACGGAGCTGAAACGTGGAGAACTACTACAAACGTCATCAAAAAGGTACAAGTAATTACAATTACAGTTGTCTATTTCTGCCTTTCTTGTTTACATTCATTTTTTCGTCTCTTATCGTCCGACTGCGTTATTGAATGACTGAAATATAGGTACCTCAAATACTTTTGCACTCGACTTTTTATATCTACGTTATTATTAACGGGATTTGTCGACGGATTATGTAAGAAGTAAGTACGACACATATTTTATTAGCATCAATATCATTAGTCCATAATCGACTCAGACCATGAGTATTTTAAAGTCAAATAATTTGTAGAGGCTGTGGCAGTACTTACATACATTAAACTGCATTTACACTATTTTTAGAATGTGCTGAATAGGAAGCCAAAGAGATAATTAGAGGAATGGAAAGCAAATAAGCCAATTAGAGATTCAAAATAGTCAGAAAGTTGAGGAATAATCATCAATCAACAGTCAAATAAATAGAAGTACATTTTCAACAGTAAAATTAAATTTTTGAATGTTCAGAAAAACAGAATACCTAATGGTTCCAAACCATTTAATTATTAAGTTAATGGTTTCATTGAGCTTATTACAAATATTTTAGATATAATCTATTCTTAATACTTCATGATCGATGTTTAAGAAACTTCGTCTACGTCATAGCTGACATGCATTCATACCATCCAGCCACCAATGTCTTGAAATTTTTTGTCCTCATTTATACTACTTGTTTGTAACCAGTAGTTACGAATATCCTACATATAATTTTGCGTATGAACAAATTCCAATTTGTAGTGACATTGACTCAAAATTTAAGGATGGAAATTCGATTCATGAAAAGGCAGACGGACCATGTTTTACTCCCAGGTATCAAGAAGAACGTATATAACTAACAAATAAACGTGCACATCCTGAGACAGTACAAATCAGATCAATAGTGAAAATAAGGAAACTACTCCACTGAACAAAGCTCCGAAACGTGGCCTATTAATTAAAACTCAAGTTTATTTCATTAAATATCTCCGTTTCTAAAAGTCGATTACGTCAATCCTTGGTTGGTTATGTTCTGTATGACGATTAAAAAGGAAATACCAGGAAATTCTTTTTTTTCACTTATGAACACGTTTCGTGACAAACACATTGGTAACATGTTAGTAAATTGTACCTATTATTCCACTAATATTAGTTAATTAACACTAGAAAATTTCCTATCCCTAAAATATTTCTTATTCGTGGGCATGTTGCAGAATTTCCAATTTGTTAAATAACACATTTTTCTGAGATTTATGTTAAACAGACACTTGATTTATAGTCATAATTTATTTCCAATTACAATGAGAGTGATTAGACCAAAATATACATATTTGAAGTATTCATATACATAAGTTCATACAATGGCTACTTTTGTGTAAGATATTAGAGCTGGTAATTGAAAGATCAGTTTGATGAAATCAATCCCATTTAAGATTTATCAAATGAATGAATCTGTATTTGTGTACTTAATGGAACCCAAACCTAATACTCATGACTGAAAACGCTTGGCTGATATACGCTAAGCTATTAAGTCAGGATAGTTGTCAGTTATTTAACCTTACAAGAGTTTTTACCCGTTTACTGCAGACATTCAGGGACGAATTTACTGCTCAGAAATACAGGTATATATAATGATAACGTACACATAAAAGGATGAAACATTTTAGTGTTAACTGATGTCGAATACATATTTAACTAAAAATGTAAGTGCACACAGTATATTAAGACAGCTGAAAAAGCTCCAATGGCAACAACGACTTGTTCATGTAATTTGAATAATGATAATTAGAAAGTCTAACTTGTTTATTTTGGTTAGCGTCTTTTTAGCAAGGTTGTTTTCTACAGGATGGGGTTGTTGACTCCATGTCCAACACTCACCCTTTACCCGGGGTTGGGACAGGCAGTAACCCCAGAAGAGCTACATCTGAAGAGCATATAGAACTCAAAACAGCTGTCAACCAATATCAAAGTCAATCTTTAATATGAACGTCAAGATAAACCTACTAAACGGAGCTGAAACGTGGAGAACTACAACAAACATCATCGAAAAAGTACAAGTAATTATAAACAGTTGTCTACTCAAAATACTCAATGTCAATTTAAACACAATAATCGTTTTACATGACTGCGTACACAAACAAGTATTTTCGGTGATGAATAATAAGTGGTCAACTACAAATACTATACAGGTCAAAATATTTCATGCTTTTAGTGGATTTACAGAAAACGTGATAACAATCTTGCGTTCATTTACGACACCCTTTTTAAAACTAAACTGAACCACTTTTTTGTATTAAGAATAACGGATTGCAAAGTAACCGAATTATAAAGATTATTTGCTTTCCTCTCAGAAATTATTACTAATTTCAGATAACGTAAAAGTTGCTTCATTAACCCATCTTTTACGGTTAGCGTAACTTCGGCATGCCCCGTTCATTATTTTTTCATCATGATTTATTCATATGTTGACATATAACGTTTATTAAAAGAGCGAACTATGTGTTAAATTAACTTATGGGGATACTTAGACGAAAATTTGTTCACTAATTGTGTATTAAACATTTGACTACCTTTCAAACTCAATAATCACCATTACCGACTATTAAAAACAGCTGTCAGTTTTTTCACAAATTATCTTTCAATGATCTACACAGTATTGTTGCTCTTGTCATGATAACTGACAACCTCATTTGTATTTCTACATGGATGAAAAAACGACATCCCGATATACATTCACTGACAGGAGTATAGCAGCGTAATCAAATGGATTTGTTTTTTTTCCGAAGTTATAATTTTTTTCAAAACTCGGATGGAACAGTGCGAAAATAGTTAATTATTGTAAATAATAATCAGATGTAAAAATGTCAATTCTCACATCCAATAAAAGCACTTTATTCTATTTCGATTTGAACGTATCAGATTACAAAGCTGCACCATTTACAGCCAATTAAAAGTTATTACAGGTGACAAAATGTTTGTTCACTTTCAGTTGGACACACACTTTCAAAAATGAGTTCACCAATCACCAATTGCTAAATTTTTTTCACGTCCTTAAATTTTGAAAAAAAAGGTGATAGGGGATCATACGTGCCGTGAAATTAATGTCAACCCCGCTGGCCGGATACCATCAACAATAGCCTACTGTGAGAGAGGAAAAACCAACTTCCAGATGAGGAGGAAATTAGGAAAAGACGTTGGAAGTGAATAAGACATACATTACGGAAATCACCAAAGTGCATCACGAGGCAAGGCCTAACTTGCAATCCTGAAGGGAAGCGGAAAAGAGGAAGGCCGAGGAACACACTACGTCAGTAATTGGAAGCAGACATGAAATGGATGAATGGTAACTGGAAAGGATTGCCCAGGATAGAGTTGGATGGAGAATGCTGGTGGGTGACCTTTGCTTCTTCACGGTAGATAACAGAAGTGCGGTTAGAAAGTGTTTGCTGAGTCGTCGCCAAACTTTTCCTTTTGTTCTTTTTTCTTCCAGATAATTTCACTTACTACTTCTAACACTCCTTCAACACAGAAGGTACCCTCAGGCCATACGCGAACTTACCGAAGGTTTAACGTTACACTTCTTCCTATGATTTTCAAATTTTTGTGATTGTATTGAGATGAAAACCAACCCAAATTCCTTTATTATTCCTTATGAAATATCGACTAGAATTTGGTGTTAATTACGTCTAACAGTAAATTAGTCGCTTCGTTTTGTTGTGCAGTAACATTGTCCAAAATACTCAATGGTACTTTTAACAAAAACAAAACAAAAGAGACGGGAAAACATTTAGACAAATATTAGATGTAATTTTTTATTTATATAAATAAACACATCACTATTAAAATAATAAAATGAAATCAATTTATCAATATATTATTTGTATATAGCAAAATGGTTTTTGATCCCCCCTCTGAATACATAACTATACTATTTACTCTTCATAAGTATTATTACTCCGACTGTTGTCAACATTTTCAGGATGAGCATCTTCAAATAAATCACTGACGTAATTGTATGGGTAACGTATTTCAATTGGTAAGGCTAAATAATCGCTATATGAAAGAATGTTTTTGCATTGTGGAAACTGTGAACAGTTGCTAGCGTTATTATTATTATTTAAAGTCAGGGAGATCGAATCTAGATCTTCTATTGAATCAGACAGTTCATATGATAGTTGATCTTGGTTATCTTGAATAGTTGAATTGTACTCAAATTTACTTGAACAAGTTTTCAATTTTTTCAAATGTTGAACACACTGGAAATGTTGTAAAAAAATACAATTTTTAAATTATTATGAGAAGGGGTTTTGCGGAGATTGAGTATTGTCATAGTTGAAAGCGTGAGTCAATTGAAGCTGGACCACTAGGGAAAACCTGGAAGCACTGGATGGTCGTTTCTTCTTATTGTGGTACTCCTCAGCAGTGCGTATCCACGACCTCGCCTCGCGAGATTGAGGAGTCCTACAACAGGACGAAACGGCCGTCCAGTGCTTCCAGGTTTTCCCTGGTGGTCTAGCTTCAATTGACTCATGCTTTCAACTGTGAATTTTTAAATTGTCCATTAATTGATTATTTTTAATAAATTAGTCATTACAGTTGAATGGATGTTAAACTTTGATTAGCGACTCTTTAATCAATTAACACACAAGTTTACAGATGTAAATCCTGAAAGTCTATGATGTGTTATTCTGTGTCTTGACATATACAGAATAACATATGACATAGGGAATGGGTGGTTTGAAGAGTGTTAACAAATAGTTAAACGATTTAGTTGTTGTTAAGTAAATAATATGGAGCTAATAGACTTGTGTTTTTATGAAGACGTGAATGAGCGCTTCAAGGATTCAACGCTGACTGGATTCTATTCGGCAATAAAACAGGGTAAGCTTCACAGAATGTTCGGTTTACGAGTTAAATTACACTTATGAAATACCTGTTTCATGTATGAACTTCAAATATTTCAAGTTCAGATCTCACTTTATAGATGTTCAAGTGGGAGACCTTGACCAGGGAACCCAACTATTTGGATGCGAGGAAGGTACCCACTGAAGAAAATGGGAGATGGTCGCGCAATACACAGCATTGATTACAGTTAGAATTGTACAGGATGCAAAGGCTAGGCATTTTGGCGCGAGACCGAAGTTCCTGGGCTCGACTTCAAGCTGTGAGGCTGTGGATGTACATATCTGGGTAGTCCAATAAAAGGGCGAAACAGTTGTCCAGAGCTCCCATGTTTTCAGTGGTTCATTATATGAATAGTATTCAACAATCTCCACAAAACTCACGCTAAGTGCTAGCTTTTAATTGTCAAATACATAAATATTTATCGAAAAGTTCGAACTGATTAAACTTATTAGGTTGTACGAAGTAGATCTAAAGAGACAGCACCAAACTACAGTGAATTCATTGTATACAGCAAACATTATACGTTAATTTTTGCACTAATTTCTGTGAAGAGAACCAACTGCATAAAAAATTGTCATTTATTATTTAGAATGATGATTATCATTAATTAACATAAATTATCAAGATTTTCACCTGATGTAAACATAAAACCCCAGAAATAGTCGCGATAGAATATATAAAACCGCTATTAATCATAAGACATATTACACTTTGACGTGTTGGCAGAAGAGGAAAAATGCAATGCTTGTGTAGACATTTATTAACTGAAAAGATATTCTTCCCAGCAAAAACTGAGATTAATACATAAAACGTACTCTTCTTGCTTGTATAGATCTTCTACATGCATCTGCACGTACTCTACGCACTGGTTCTTTATAATCTTCACGAGAAGTAGTCAGTTCAAGATCCGTTGAATTTCCATTTAGATTAGCTTTACAGTTTTCCATACTGCATGATTATTTCTTACAAAATTATCATGAATTCTGTTATTCTGTGAGATTAGAATTTAATGAGAATAAACAACGTTAACAAGCAGATATTAATTCAGTATTGTAAAAATAAGAACAACTTTAGTCTGATAGTGAAATGATGCTAGTTCAGTCAAAATAGTTTAGTAGTAACGATAATGCTTAGGGTGTTCAATAATTCGCGTAATAAATCTGAAAAAGAAACAATACTTTATGTATCAGTACACTCCTTCAAGTTGATATCTAGTCAGTAGTTTGTGAATATTCATAATTGAATAAAACACGTTTTCAATGTAAAATCATTTGACTCAATCGGTTATATTTTGCGTAACCTTGCTGAAAACAGTCAAAAACAGTAATATGATTTGGCGAGTTTTCTTTAGAAGCGGGCGACCGATACAACACATTGGGATTATAGGTTGTTTTTTTTAATTTACTTACTAGACTTAGGATTTGCAAGTACATTGTTAAGGGAAGAGAATTAATGTCAACCTCAGATCTGACTGTTAGGCACTTTATACAAATGGAGTTTCCGGGGGATATTTGATTAAAAAACATGCAATTGGAATACAAATTCAATTTTGAACAGCCTTTTATAAAATCGTATTGCTAGTTTACATGTCAATCTTATTAATCAACTGTCTAAAAGCGTAATACAATCAATATTAATGTATTGGAGGCTCAATTATAGATATTTCTGAAGTGTGTTTGAATATCTAAGGACTATAAATAAAATTGGTTGAAGTATTATTTCTTTTCTTAAAAAATTTGAGTAACCAATTTTCGTATAACAATGTTTATTATTTGAAGTAAGTACTTTGTTATTTATGACAGCTCGCGACCATCTCACATTGTCTTCAGTGAATACTTTCCTCATACCCGATAAGGTTTAACTAGGTTGATTGGAATTATATTTGTACACCACTGGATCCGCATTCAGTGGTGTAGAGGTCAAGTGTTCTCTCGCAAAACTGAACGTTCTGGGTTTCATTCCCGCGGTGGGGTCATTGATGCGTACTGCCGAGGAGTCTCATACTGACAAGAAATGTCCATTTAGGGCTTCCAATTTTTAAATAGTTGACTCTGATTAGTTTGTGATTTCACTAGAATTCAACAGTTTTCACAACCGCACACCGATAAATGTGGAAGAACTATAACAAATATTCAGATATCTGATTATTTGCAAGTATATAGATATTGTACAAAGAGAATCTGTACAGGAGATTGAGACAGACTTTTCTGTGATAAAGTTACGTATATTTGTTTTTTAATATTTATTGCTATTATTTCTACACTATAAGCAGGTAAAGAGTATCGGTAAAATGATAAGTAAACTGGGACATTCTGCTACAGTTGTTCTTACCTATGAAAAGGAAGAATTATATACAGACAATTTAGATTCTTAACAATTTGACAGTGCCAGAAATTTTATTTCACGTTAAGGTATTTCGTGATACATTAAAGCAATAACTTATACTTATTAATTATAGCTGGTGTTTCAATTTTTATCACGAATTGAGGCTCAAGCTACAAGACATTGAATTGGTGGGGTAAGATTAAAATAAGTTAGATACACTTAATGGAATGGTGATCTGCTAATCGAACCATAAAATCACAGGATCAAAGCTCCTTCTGAGTAATTCGATTTAGATATCGAGGTAGGATTGCAAGCCCCTGCACAAAAATTGTTGCTCTAAGACGAGAGTACACGAGATTGTGCTTAGTTGCACTTTAATGGTAAGTGATGAGTCTAAACATAACCAGACTAGACTTCATAGTTTCATCGCATCGTACTAATGATTTGACAACTTGGGCCACGGTTTACGTTAACAATGACTGACTAGTAAGTGATGAATTCTAAGCATGGATATACTAAACTAACTTGATTTCTGTCAACCTTAGTCACCTGTAAAAAATCATATTTCAGTCAGAGAGTAAATTGAACATTTCTGGTTGATTTATTTTAGTGTTAAGGTGACATTTTTACCAATGTAAGGTAGTGACAGGGTGATTGTTACTTATGAACGGTTGAACGTGAACTTCAAACAAAACTTACCATAAAAGCAACTTCTTTTGTAATCGGTTTTGAAATGTTTTGATATTACACTCCATATAAACGACTCTGTCCAAAAAAAATGAGGGAAACACCGTAAATGAACATAACCAAATCATATTAAATGAATAATAACCATTTCGAATTTTGTTGAACGGGATAAAAATCTGACAAGCTAGTTTGCTTTTAATTGTTTACATTTAGAAAGTATGTCTAGCTGCTTGACTAAGTAACATCAAACCGGTTCAAGCTAAAAACTATTTAGGACAGTATTCTGCCGTCCAACATACAATAATCCAAGTGTGTTGGAGTATACCGAAAACTGACGATCAAGGGTCAATTATTTAAACCGGTGTGTTGTTTAAAATTTTCTTTCTTACAGTGAACAGAGTAGTAGAAATTTACTGGTAAATCGAAATAGGATTATACATGCTCATCCTGGATTTATTAATGTGCTTGACTACTGAGTAGTTTTATTAGTTTAAATTTTGCCATAATTGGTCAATTTCTGTACAAATACAGCTGACTAGTGAAATGAAGATAAGTATTCATAAGAAACTAAACATGTTAAAGAATAATTTTAAGTGACGTACGGTTAAAGTATAGTGACTATGAAGAGTAGACCTAAACTTTTCGTACTGTTTACAAATAACGTCCGGAAACTCTTTATAATCCTAACGTTTAACCAATCAATATTTAGATTTACAGTCGACAGTAGCCAAACATATTTCGTAAATTGAGAGAATTCTCTAAGTGGAACCGTTTACAAAGTTTTACGCCACCCTAACCGAACAAAAATAACTAAGTAGTTGCTCAATAATTTTTTGTATATATGAATAATCCTATCACATCTTAACTCGATATTTTGAACGTAATAATAAGGTAATATGTATTATTCAACAAAATTCGGTTATATGAATATCTAAAACAACTAAGACGAAAGGCCAAATCAACAATGAAAAAGGATGAAAGTTATCGTTTTCCTACAGAAACTCATGAGATGTTTTTAGTTGGAAGGGTTGGTAAATGATCAATCACTAAGTTGAGTGATTTAATTAACTTACTTTTTCTAGTCTAAACAGACAGAATACGATTTTTGTATGTACAAAACTCACAAATATGACAAACTAAAACTAAATTATCGGATAGTACTAGATTTATTTTACGTATGCTAACATAATTATCTTGTTATCAAACAAATTACATGCTTTTAAGAACCAAATAGTATTATTAGCTTGAAATATCACAGATATTTCACTGATTATTAGAGATTTTCAGCAGAATAATGAAACACTCATTCCCATCAAAACTAGTATCCATATTAGTTACCTTGTCAGAATCAAACACAACAATTATAGTTGACAATCGAAATAATTAATCATATACCAGTCAAGGAATTAATACTTAGCAAGGAATGAACTTTTTCACAGTAAGAGATGTCCAGGAAAACCGCTTTGTAAGCCGTCGTGTTGCGGACTAGTACTGTTTTTCAATAACTAAATGTTCACGATGATACATGTAACTGAGTAGCTAAAGCGACATTAGACTTGCGATTCTCTTTTCAAGACTTGAATATGATAGCACTGTTTAAATCCCTATATATCCAGTTACTAATTAAACTATCTATGGTGATTACACTTATGTAATGAAGATTAATAAATTTTCTAAAACTATTATGCAACATATTGATTACATACAAACTAACTTCTTCATATAACAATCAAATGCACAAATTGTATTATTTTAAACAATGGATTAACGCAAACATACAAATAAACAAATAAGTATTTAAGTAACCTTCAAATTAAAAGGAACACAATTACTAAATTTATACAATACAATATCATTTTCTTTAATTTTAACATTAAAGAAATAAAATAAAATATATTTTAATTTTTAAAAAAAATAGATGAAGGTAAATTATAAAACAAATTTGGAACACTATGTCAATCCATTTGAATAAATGAAAAGTAACAATGTAAAGGATTGCCTGTGTACAGAATAACATTTCATTTATAAGCAAGCACATGTACGCATAATAACATGTGTAATTCGAAGACAAAAAAATATGACAAAGAAAACATAATGACATATAATATTACAAAGTGGGAATTCAGATATAAAACCAAGTGTAATATGAATCGGAATAGGATTAAGTAGAGTTAATGTCATTAATCAATAAACAATATAAATTATGGTTGTATTGTGGTGTGTACATGTAAGCACACACAAAAAATGACCATATGGAGAAGAAAGATGAACAAAAACAGTTTAGATTGTCATAATAACAAGGTGTAAAATCTGGAATATTCAAATGACAAAGTTAGTCAAGAGGTTTTATTGATAATGAAATGTTATGTAATTGAATATTACAGGATATAGACAAATTTACGGGAGAAATATAATCTCATATATACAAGGAATATATATATACATCATAACTACACAAAAAATGCAGACCTCAAAACATAAAATACATCTTTGATTTAATTTGAAAGAATACAAAATATATTCATCTTTATACAATATTAGTGCTTGCATAATTTAACAAATTATTAACAAACTATCTTTAATCATTTTCGATAAGCCATGAATCCAGTGTGGACGGACGCATATGTTGAGTCTTATTACGTTTTTGATTGTTCGACTTTGATTTAGTACCAGATATTATATCGCCATTATCACATGTATTGGCGTAAGTCTCAAGATGTTTCAATTCAAATGAAGGCAAACCTTGAGAGATGTATATATCTGAAAAACTGTCCACATTTTCTAGATATAATTGCTAGAGAAAAGGAAAATAATTATTAAAATATGAAATGAATAAAATTAACTTTAAAAGAAATCTTCTGAAATTTGTAAATGCTTTTACATACCGTAATCATTAAATTTCAACAAGAACAAAATTGCTGGCATTTAATAAACA